TCTTTTAAGACATGAGTAGCTTCTGTTGCAGTGGTCATCCTTAACAAGACTGTAGTAGGTGTGAAATTGTAGTATATTTTTGCATTCACCTACTCTGTTGATGCACTTAAAAAAGCTAAGTGTTTGGCTGATGGCCCACTGCCAGAGCTAATATAACACATTAGTGCTCCTGAAGATGTGGCAAGTACGAAGCATGTAAGGTGTGCAAGCCCCGGGTCAAGGTGGGGTCTGTTAACATTGCTACAGCCTGGTCCTGCTAAAAATAGTTTCCTGTGTTTGAGCTGCCAGAACTTAAACTATATGGTGGTCATAATGCAACACTTCCCGGTATGGTCCTCCTACTTTTTTTTGGGGGTGGAATGAGAGGATCATAGTTGAAATTATGAACCTCTCTTCTCCATAGCGAAATCCAGAGCCTGAGTGTAAATTTTTAGTTATTACAGCTCAAAGCTGTTTCTAAGATTTCATAAAGCTTGTGCATGAGATGTGTGAGTACAACGTTTTTTGGGGCAGACACTCTTCAGTTATGTGGGCTGGTGGGGAAATAGAGCTGTGGTCCAGCTCTGTTTCTTGGGAAAATACAGAGGAGTTCGTCACGTGTCAGCCACTGCTGTAGTCCAAACTGTAATTTAGACACCAACCCATATTTCAGACTGATAACTTATGTTCTGAAAAATAGTAGGAAGATAAAAGAGCTGTGGGTTTATTACTCTGGTTGATCTCTGCTTCAAAATTGTGGTGGTTTGGAGAAGCTTGGCAGGTAGAAAATGTTTTCTTTGCTTAGAGGTAAGGATCTAAGTACACTTGGTATTTGCAATGAGTTGGCACTGCTAGCTAGGCTAAGGGTTAATTAAAATGTTTGATTTAGCTCTGGTTATTTGCTTTCACTGCTCTTCCTGAACCTTTTTGTGAACCACTAGCTGCCATAAGAACTTTCACAATAGAGAAGATTTATATTGTATGTCTGCAGATCAGATCAGTATGCATGCTTCCTTCTGTTTGTCAAATGTTTATCAGATGGCTAGGAAGGAAAGGAATGGGGAATTGATGTTTTTAACTTGATTGAAGTGAGAATATTGTCATGTCTGTGTATTTAAGGTAATTGTAAAGTGTTGGCATCACACATTTTTCTGTTGTAATGCTGTACTGGCAGCAGTATTTTCTGGTCACTAGAGATTAGCCAGATGTCACGTGCTGTATGACAGAACATACCCTAATAATTGTGTTTTCAAATAACTTCTCCATTAGTGTTGAGACAGGTAGAATCGTAGAGTATGCTGAGTTAGAAGGGACCTGTCAGGATTATCTAGTCCCAACTCCTGGCCCTGAACAGGACAAGAGTCACAGCATGTGAATGAGAATCTTGTCCAAACACATCTTAGACAGGCTTGTTACTGTGACAGGGAGCCCTACAGAAATGGAACAACTTCTCAGAAAAATAAAGTTGTTTGTGATCTGAATTCTAATCATGTGAGGAGAGGCACTAGAAATTAAGGAAATGCCAAGTGAAGAGTTGTTGTATCAGCTGTACTTCTCTTGGTTTTAAGGGGCATTTTCTTGAATTACTTGTTACTTCTTCAGCCTATAATGCTGGTTCATGTTTACATGGACTTGCTTACATGTCAAATTTTGGTACCAGCTCTTGAAAGTGCACCAGGAACTAGGGTTGTTGCATTGAAACACTCTCTGCCAATTGGCTCCTACATTTTAGCATTTGTAGCTTGGTCTTGCTTTATATGCTAGACAAGTGTTATGCCAGCCTAATTGGTTGCTGGCATTCCTGAATTTCTCAGCTGCTGTATTCAGCTGTGCACTAGAAAAATATAATGGAATACTGTTTCCAGAGAGCAAGAGGCAATTGTAAAAATGTAAATGCTTTATCTGGCACTTCAATAACATGTAAATTTTTAGTAACACAAAGAAGTTTTAGGAACAAATTGTATGAGTACATTGCCAGTTTAAATACTGTAGTGAATATTTTCTGCGCTGAATATTTTCTGCTCAGAGTCTTTGGAAGATGGACATAACTTTTATTTTGTTAGTATGTCGGTTTTTGTGGGTTTTTTACAGCCCTGACTTTCTTGGCCGGGGAAGGGATGAAATCTGGCACAGAGATGGAAGATTTATTGTGATTCTTTTGTTACGGCATGCTGGCTTACTATGTTTGTTAGAGTGTGGGGTATTTTCTGTTCATTCATCAGCCTGCTTTGATCTCTTCTCATTTGTTATGGCAAAGATGAAACCTTTTTAAAATATTACTTGTTCTCTGTCGAAAGTAACAGAGCACAGAAACACATAGTAGGACTTATATGGTGTCTCTGTGACTATTTGCAGGCGGAATAGTCGGTGACAGTGTCACAGGTTTCAGCTGCAAATAATGGTTTTCTTCAATATTTTAAAAATTTGGTAACATACTAAATATTATTGGAATAGTCTATCAAATATGTTTCACTATACAAATATTTTTCATACATTGTTTTTTGTTGCAGACAGGTAAAAGATGTTATAAAAGAAAAGTCTTATAAAATATGGATTAGGCCCTGCTGCTTCAGCTAACAATAGCTTGCAAGCAATCTTGGGAATGAGAGTTCATTAATACAACAAGGTATTTGTGGCTGAAAAACAAGGCCACCTGTAATAGCAAGGGATCTGTCTCATGAGAATCAGTAGAAAAAGTATGTAAACTAATTAAAAATACAGAAGTTTGATGGATATTCAAAATACCATGCACTGACCCATGAACTAAGTGTGAGTGTATTGTCAGCCAATAAGATCCAACACAGTCCTTTCTGATAATCCTATAAAATACGACCTATACAATAAAGATTGGGCTTTTTGTGCATGAAGAAAATTGAGTCTTGGCTGACTTATTACAACAGTTTTTGTCTTGGTTCTGAATTGACAGCTGGGCCAGGCCTTAAAAAAAGCAGCAGAAGATTATACCAACGTAAGCTTAAATTCCCAGTTCCCAGCATTTTTGTGTCCTTGCAGCCTGGTCTCAGCACACTCTTTGAAGAAGAGGCAGGTGTGGCATTACTACAGGAAGATAGTAGCTTCTGTTGATGCTTTGCTGAAGGACCAGACAGTTCATTGAAACAATTCTACAACAGTGTTTTTGCATAGAATTAAGTCCCTAGAGATTATTAAATGCTGAAATATTGATGGAGAGGTGTATTCTGGATGGTGAGAATGGTACTCAGGAAGCCCAAATGGAAGGGTTTGTTCAGAAAAAGCGTGGGCCAGGGAAATAAAAACAAGAGAATGCCAGAGGACAGAAATTAAGTGAAGCAAAAAGGGGAGGCTTTTTATTTAGAATGTTAAAAAATGACTTAACTTACTTTAGTGTGGGAGTAACTGTTTTGCTTTGGGCCAGGAGAAGAGTGGAGGTTGTACATGGATGTGTAATGTGTGCTGCCGGTGAGGTGAGTGCTGCAGATGTGAAAGTGATGCTGCCCAGGGCTGCCAACTGCTCTGTGAGTTCCTGAGTGCTGCACCTCGCCTGAGCTGCAGCTAGTCTCTTCCTCCACACACTGTGAGACAGTACAGGGGTTTGCTGTTACCTTCCATGATGCTTCCCTGTATTCTCCCTTCCTACTAAATCTTAAATAGATTTAAATAGATGTTTAGGCAGCCTTTGTAGTAGAAGAAATATTAAAGGTATACATTTGTTACTCTCACTGTTAGCTGAGATAATTTGGGATATCATTCAAGGTTTTTCTTTTGTTCTGTCCCTCTGCAGGCCCTAGAAGGCTTAGACTGAAAAACCTTTTATTTTTTGTTTTTGGAAAACTGTCAAATTGTGGCTGAAGTGGCTAAAACAAAAAGTTGAAGCAATCAACGGAGCAGAAAACTAAAGGGGATTTGTGGGCTGAATAGCTTTAGAAAAAAAAAAAAAGTTCAAGGCAGAGAAGGCTGAGACTGAAGCATGTGTGCTGATGGTGCTGCATTTTGCCTTGAGCAGGTGCCCAGCAGCAGCAGCAGAAGCAGCAGCAGCATATGCACAACTGCTCTGGGACGATCACTGATGCTTTGGGAGCTGCACATAGTCCTAGGGGGTGGCTCGTGGCAGGTGGAGCAAAGGATTACTTCTTCATAGTATGGACTTCCTTGCAGGAGGGTGTGCAAGGAGCAGGTTACTTTGGATTTGTGTTCTTTAGAAACCTCAGTTCTTGGTACTTGAGGGCAAAGCATGGATGTGAAATCAATGTGACACTTGTGTCTTGATCCTTTTGTGTCAGCGCATGGCTGTCCTGCTCTTTGAGTTGCTCTTCTGTACTGTGCATAGGAAAGAGGCCATAAAAAATTGCAGGGTAGTATATATTTTAGAGAAGAATCCTTATTCCTACTGAAGATTTATTTACTGGATTTATTTTACTCTCTGGGGGCTTGCTTCCTTTGAGTCTTGCACTGGAGAAGTCAATGCAAAAGTATCTTAAGCTCAGCAGTCTGTGTAAGTAGCTCTTTCTAAAATAATGGTTTGTGTTGTTCCAGGCAATTTAATTTCAGTTGGACTACCACCTGATTGTTGCCTCTAAAAAATGAGTATCAGAACACAATTTCAAAGGGCTTCATTTCAGCGTTGAGATGTCTGATGTTCTATCAGCCTAGAAGGGGGGACAAACAAGTCTTTGTGAAATGCACCTAAGAGGCCTTTAGTACCTGTGGGAATCTTCTGGTAGAGGAATTATCTGTTTTCAAGGAGAGAGAGTCTAAGTGGTGTGGCTTTCCTGAGAGGTTCTGTTTACTTACCACTCAATTTTCTGTTCACTGTGCTTTTCACTTGGATGCTGACTGTCCCATTAGAGTCTCCACTGGTGGATCCGGTCTGAGCCACTTCACACTATGTGGCCTACAATCACCTCCTACTTATCACCTTATTTCTTTTCAACCATCTTCTTCCTACCTCTCTCTATATGACTAAGTGCAGGGATAAAAATATATTCTGGAATTTTTTTCCACCAGTTAATAAATAATCACCTCGTGTTTGCTTTCTAGGCCGAATTCACCAGGCTATGGTAACATCTCTAAATGAAGATAATGAAAGTGTAACTGTTGAATGGATTGAAAATGGGGATACAAAAGGGAAAGAGGTAAGCTTATTTATTTAGGACTTTAAATACCCCCCCTGTAATCTATGTGAATATTACTTGAAATTTGTGCTGGAAACAAAAATGAGACATACATCTTAATTTACTTCATGATTCTTTGCTTACAGACTGTTTCATGCAGAAAGTGTTGAGCACACTGTTTTCTGTTTGTAAATATGAATTCCTGAGCTCTGTGTCATAGCTTTCAGGCAGTTGTTTTCCTCTGTTGATTTTGAACCAGACTACAAATGCTGGCTTTGTTATCCAGTTTTTACAAGCAGAAAAATCAAATTTTTAAGAGGGAGAATGACACAAAATTCAGACAGGAAACTAGCAGGAGAGCTAAACTAGAAATTTTCTCATGTTTGTAATCTTGAGGAATTTAACTGCCAGTTTATTCAGTTATTTTTGGCAGCAATTATTCCAGCCTAGCGTTCCTTATGAAACTGCGTCTTTTTGTGTAACACTTTCCTACCACATCTTCCTTTAAATTTTGGACCATGTTAGCCAGTTTCGTTTTGGAGAAGCATATCAGAAATAATTGCACTTTACACTTTATTGGTTTTGTGAAAACACAGGGGAAAAAAAAGCCGTGAGAAAGTCCTGGAGATTTCATCAGCTGAAGACACAGAGAATCTATACAGCACTGAGGTCTTTGAAAGCTTCAGCAAAGAGAAATAGAAGTCTATAGAGACCAAAGCTCATCAACATTTGTACAAAATCATACTTTTAAGATCCTGTCCCTCTTCCCTTACATTTTACAGCAGTTTGAATGACAGTCAGTAATACTTTAAAAGAAAAAAAAAAAAAACCATGATAAATTGAACATGGTTTCAGCTATGTTTTGATTTTTTTGGACCTTTGCAATTTATTTCTTTTGCACTGTCTGGGAAATTTAAGATAAGAGAGCTCCTACTTTTTATGTTCCAGAATGTCTTATATATTTTGGAGTAATTGTCAAATTACCATAGTAATACTAGCTATTTCTCTTTTAGTTTGATCACCTTAGAAAATTTTATTATCTATTGGTCATTTTTAATTCATCCCTTTACTGAATGATGTGTTTTCAAATAATACAAAGACCAAAGATTCATCTATTTTTAGTGAACAGAAAAGAATTCAGATCTTAGCATGAACAAATTGTGGGGTAAAAACACTTAATATAATTACTGTTTATTGTCAAACATAACAGGAGATAAAGAGAGGATTTATGTCAAGTGTCATTAATGTGTTTTATGCTCTTTTTCACAGATTGATTTGGAGAGCATATTTTCACTTAACCCAGATCTTGCGCATGATGAAGATATTGAGCCTAGCCCAGAGGCACTACCACCCCCTGCTTCATCAGCCAAAGTAAACAAAATTGTGAAGGTTGGTAATATCTATGCGATATGTTCTTGGTAACTTTACAGTAACTCTATACATGATATTATGCTAGAATTTTTAACTTAACTTTTGTGTTTGTGGTGCTATTTCATAACACTGTTCTTTTCTATTTCCTGTGGTGAATAGGGATTTCTAAATTATTTTAAGAGGAGGTTTGGTAGAGAGGGAGTTGGGAACTAATGTTGGTATAACTAAATGTCTTAATGAAGGATAAAAAAAAGATTTTTGAGTTTTCTGAAACATTACAGACAGTTCAATCAGCCTTCACCCCTTCACTTTTCCTGCTGGGATTTGCAATCAAATCTCTTTTGTTGATGCTGTGTTATTTTTATTCACTGGAAAGAAGCAGAGGTGGGGCTGCAGTTTGTGCTTTCAATAATTTGGTGATCAAATAAAAGAGACTTCTTTCTTTATAGAGTCGACGAACTGTGTTACCTACTAAGAATGATCCTCCTGCCAGAGATAATAGAGGTAAAAGTTATCTCTTTACATTTCAATGAAGTAAAAAATACGGTAACATTTTAACCTCCTGTTTATCTAGTATTCCTTAATAGTTTGCATTTCTCATTTGGTGTGTAGGCCTGTGGCATGTAAAAGATATGGTATATAATTCCTGAAATTATTCCTTTGTATATTTAGGAATTCATACTATACAAATAATATTTATATGCAAATTTAAGCAATACATAATTGTAAAAGTTAAGCTGCAGTAACTGATGGTGCAAAAATTTGATGATAATTAATTATGAAATGGTAAATCATGCATGGACTTTTCATATGTAAGTGTCCTCAGCTTATTTGAATGTTATAATATACACTAAGTAGCGTGCTTTCAATTCTTAAAATTTTCAAATTTTTGACTATTTTTGTTAACAGCCTGTTGTTTTGTAGCAGTCTGTGTGTGAGCAGTCTTATATTATAAGAATATAAGAATACTTAAGTCCTACAGACTTTTTTTATCACTCTGCAGTTAATAGTGAAAAAAGCTGAAAAAAAATCACTGAAATATCACAGGAGAATAGGTGAAAAGTATGTATTGGAGGAATGCAGATATAATGCATCTATAACTTGTGGAAGAATAATTACTACTTATTGTTTTCACTTTCTCCCCTATGTTGAACTTAACTGATTTTTACTGATGATGATGGTGATGATTCTTCTTCCAAACATTAATCTACTAACATTTCTTCAGACTAGATTCCAGTCCAGCTGTTTAAACTTGGAAAACAAGTAGGTTTGCAAGTAATCAGACTCTTCTGATGTGGACCACTTTTGCCCTTCTGCCATTTGGCTCTGGGGGTATTAAGCAGATTGAAAATACAAGAGTGTTTTGAGTTTTTTTTCCTATATATTGTGGTTGAAATATGAGATGTCTTACTGATGGAGTATCCTCACATCCATACATTTTGTCATTTGTAGTAAATTATCTGTTTAGTATGAAATAACCCTGTAACCTGTATTTTAATGGGTACCTTGCCTCTTACCATTCATTGTTGGCCTAAATATTTTTCTTTTTGGCCTTCAATGTAGGTTTTCTCAGCACATGTCTTATTTTATCTAATCAATTTATACTGTAATCTAGGTCTGCTGTGATGTGTGGAATGATGGCATTTGTCTTGTCCGTTCTATTCAAAACTTGTTTCTGTAGTTGTTTCCGTGTTGTACATTGTGCTGGCCTTCACTGGAGTCTCATCTCTGGCTACTGATCAAAACTGATACCTTCACTTTAGTACTCTTCTGACACACTCTGCTTGAAGTGTGCAGGAAATCAGCCAGATGAAGCAGAGCTGGTTGAAGCAACTATTTGAAATACAATTTAAAGCATTCAGCTCTGTCACACAGGCTTGCATGCTCACCACTCCCACTGCATTCGCTGGAAAAAGACATCACAGCATCTTCAGAAGCTGGCATTCTTAGCACCTATAGATATGGTTGATGTTTGGTGTGAGGAGAAGTGAATTTTGACTCCATGTTTCAGAAGGCTGATTTATTATATTATGATATATATTATATTAAAATGATACATTAAAGCTATACTAAAAGAATAGAGAGAAAAGGATTTATCAGAAGGCTAGAAAGAAAAGGAATGGAATGGTAACAAAGGCTTGTGACTCCCAGAGAGTCCGAGCCAGCTGACTGTGATTGGCCATTAATTAGAAACACCTAACATGCACCAATCACAGATGCACTTGTTGGTGAACAATGTCTAGACCACATTCCACAGCCATCAGATAGTTAATTGTTTACATTTCTTTTCTGAGGCTTCTCAGCTAGAATAGGAGAAAAATCCTAGAAAAGGATTTTTCATAAAATATCACGGCTACATATAGAATCAATGCATAAGTTTAGACATATTGATTGTCTGTATCCCTTCTGGTATAGAGGCAAAAAGACTTGTTTCTTCCACTTTCAGATTGTACTGCACTTCACTGGCCCTAATTTCTTTTGCTTTGCTCCTCCAGTGTTCATAGGCTTAATGGGGTTGGGGCATTTTGTACAGTCTAGAGAATGTGAAACAGCAGGTCTTCTTTTTTTCTTACTAGTTTTCTGGGTATAATTACAGTATAAATAAAATTGAAGCACTTTATGCTTCAGGACTGTATATCTCCAAGTAAATGATTCATTCTGTGCATATAGTAAGTTGTACTAATTCTGCAGAATTTAAAAATATGCATGTGCAGCATTGGTATTTAATAATCATGCTGTACAGCACTAGGATAAAAAAGTCTGCATACCACATGTTTTTATTAATAGACTTTCCATGAGTATGGCTCCTTCTCATCCACAGTAAATTGTTGTGTTTAGAAAGGGACCTCATTTTATCTCATCTTAACCAGGCATTTCAGAAATGGTTAGAAAGGTTACTCCTTCATGTCCAGATGAGCTTTTTGCTTTTCCTTTGCAGTGGTTGGTTCTGCGCGTGCACGACCTACTCAGCTTCCCGAGCAGTCTTCCTCCTCTCAACAGAATGGTAGTGTTTCAGATATATCTCCAGTTCAAGCTGCAAAAAAGGAATTTGGACCCCCTTGTATGTAAACCGTGTATCAAGGACTCGTTCATTCTGGGCATTACATGTACATTCTCTTGGATTATGTTGTTATCCATAAATGACAAATGGTCTGCATGTTCAGTTGTCTGTGAGCTTCCTTGAGGAGCTTTTCAGAAAGCTGTGGCAAAACATATGTTCGTTTTTGTCATAATTTTACTAGTATTTGGAATTTGTTTACCCTTTGTTTTCTTTTAAGCATGGTGGTATTGTTTAGCACTTTTTTTTTTCCAATTTTTTTAAAAATTTGTCTGGGCTTACTTTTAATTCAAACCAAGAGATCACATGTATCTGTCCACATATTTTTTCAAGGTCATATATTTTTTGTTTCTGTAGTTGTCCCATTCCCGTGGCATTTTTCTAATAAGTTTTATTCATTTTAGAAATTTAAATACCATAATGATTCTATACTAATCAGATTTGCTTGAAAATCTAGTTGATAGTTGATGCATTCTAATTATTGATACATTAATTTAATTGAAGTTTACAGTGTAAATATGGAAAGTATTTTTAAATTGCATGTTTTTCTTTAAGCACGTAGAAAATCTAACTGTGTAAAAGAGGTTGAAAAATTGCAAGAGAAGCGCGAAAAAAGAAGGTTACAGCAGCAGGAACTTAGAGAAAAGAGAGCTCAGGTCAGTATTTTTAGCTCAACTGAAAATCATACGTCAGCAAGAGAAATCTGCAAAATTATGCTTTTTTCAGTCTTTAATAATTTTTATGAACTGTGATAATCTTGAAATTAAGTGTCAAATTTGTCAAGATTTGACAAATATTTTGTTGTTTGGTAGGATTACTCTTGTAACTACTACTTTAGATGGTTTTCCCCCTCTTTTTCTTCCTACAGAAATCATTACTTTCAATTGCTGTCTTGCTGCATGTTCTTTAGAGAACAACTACTGATCATAGCTATTTCTTAGGGAAAATGTATTTTTGACAATAACCTTTTGACTTTTTGAGAGGTCTGTTATTCTACAGGAGGCAATACAACATTATGATAAATTGTTCATTATAATCTTTGATGCTTTATAGATCTATTTGAGGCTCAAGTTTTAACAGTGACTTCTAATGTTTCTTTCTTTAAACTAGTCTGTACATTTGTAATTTCATCATTTTGCTAGCCAGTTGTTAGAAACTTGTGTAAAATTAATGAAGTTGCTAATCCTTTGAGAAAAATCTCTTAGTATTAAATGATTTTCTGTCACAATGGTGTAAAAGCTTTAGCAAAGCTAGGAGTGTAATCTTGTTGGCAGCTGTGTGTGTATGTGTTTGTTTCTAAAGAGATAGTACCAGTCTGCTGCTGACCTGAGAATTACCACCGTCAAGTAAATCATTCATGAATTTACTTTTCATGGTTTAATGATGTTTCCAAGTTGACCTAAAATCACCTATGTTAAATTTGTATTTAATAATTTACATCAGTTTACACAAAACATTATTATCTCTTTATGTGTGAGGAATGACCATTTTTGGCTTTATATATTAAAATACTTTGAAGTGGTGTTACTTGTAAAATTTTATTGCTCCTGTGAACACTCCTCTTGCATCTGAGTCTTAAACTTTTGTGTGGGGAAATCGTTGGGAAATGCAGCAATAATTCACCAAGCACTGACTTCTAGTATGCAAGACCTTTAAACAGGGCTTGATGAATATTAGGTAAATCCTTTCTCCAAGATAAACAATACTCTTTTCTGAATGTTATAAAGTAGCATTTTGTGAAGACTTACTGTCAGCAGTTTTTAGTTCAGTGTAGTGAGAGTGAATGACATCAAGGTACAGTCAGCTTCTGATCACTAGGAAATAGTTTTTTCTGAGGTGAGGATTGGCTGTGTCACAAGTGCAAAGAATGAGCTGGCTCCCTGTCAGTTTAGTAACCCAAATCCAGTGCTTTCTGAGAGTGCCTACACTGTGTAGTAGGGATTCAGAAATTTTATATCAAGTGGGGATAGTCGTGCAAAACTTAGTAGGGTCTGAGCACCAGAGCTGGCTATATTTGGCGTCAGCAGCGTGTCCTGAAGTGTTGTAAAACAGGTATGTGCAGGGAGAAATGATGGGAAGGTGTTTAATCAGTTCTGCAGAAAACAGGGTAGGTTCAGGCTCAGCTTGGCCTCCATGCATGGCCTCTTACATGTCCATTCACCCTGGTATTGATCGCTCCAGGTTTAAGGATGAGTTATCTTCTGTGCCTGTGTCGTGCGGTCAGCTGTCCTGGCTGTGTTGACTGCCTTGCTTGTGGGGTGGGGTGAGGACCAAAAAGGGACTTTGCTGTGTAAGTGCTGCTCAGGAGTAGCTAAAACATCCATGTATTATCAACCCTGTCTCCAGTACAAATCCAAAACAGAGCTGCATACCACATTCTTCCATGAAGATGATTAACTCTATCCCAGCCAAAACCATCACAGCCTGGAGTATCCTTGGGATTACTTCTGCTTTGCTGGGGGTCTGGGAAGAATTTACAATGCATTCAAATATATGTGTAAATTAACACAGGACCAAAGTTAGGAGCAAGCTACTTTAACTGGCTTTTATCCCGCAGGATTGTGTTTAGAGCAACTGGGGTTCCTACACTGTCCTCTGTGGTGTGTGTTGTACCTGTGCAGTGGAGTATCTCTGCATCTGTCAGAGTGCCATACCTTAGCTACATCAGAGTGGAAAAAGGCATTAAACTTATATTAACCTTGCAAGAGATATTTCTGGTGTTTTGCAGAAAAAAAATATTTCAGTTAATGAGTATTTTTTCCATAGATAATTAATTAAGGCCTTTTCTGGAAACAAAAAGTATAGTAGAAATTCTGTTGCTTACTTTTTCTTAGGATGTTGATGCTACAAACCCAAATTATGAAATTATGTGTATGATAAGAGATTTCAGGGGAAGTTTGGATTATAGACCACTGACAACTGCAGATCCTGTAAGTATGCCAGCAACATGGAAATATGTTATCGTTCTGTGTTTTGCTGTGTGTTTTCTTTTTTTTTCCCATGTATACTTCCGTCTGTTAATGCAAAAATTGGTATTTTAATATATATTAGTATTTAATATAACATGGGTTTATTTTTCTAGTAACTTGTTGATACTGAAATGAGTAGATTTTGAAAGTCCTACTTTACTAAACTGTTATTAAATTATTTAAATATCTTTTTACTATTAAATAATGCCAGTATATACTAAGTAGTCACTCAGCCTTTGTATGGTAAATTTTTCTGGGATGCTAAGGGATGTGCACACAAAACCATGAAACTTATTTGAAGAACTGTCTTCAACATAATGATTACTATTTGATCTTTGAAGTGATGTAGTCTTTTGGTTTGCAGCCAGGTCAGAGGAGTGGAATCCTTAAATGATCAAGACTCAAATTCTGTGGAAATCAGAAAATGTGACCATATCTGTCAGTAGCATATTTACCCATTAAAACTAGATTTGCTTGCATAGTCCAATAGTACCTGTTGATCTACTGGATTAGATCACTGTCTGTGGGGAGTTTTGTTAATATATGCTTCTCCCTTTTGGGTTCTTGGCTACTGTGCAGACACAAGGGGTTTTTACATGTTCAGATGACTCACTGTCTTGGAAATTTCTCTTTGGTTAAATGATCAACCAATCATTTAATCTGAAAAGAGAAGTCAATTAAAGTTAAATATTTTGTAACTGGAATTGGGATATAGTTCACTGAAAGACTTTCCTTTGCAGATTGATGAGCACAGGATTTGTGTTTGTGTACGAAAACGACCACTCAATAAAAAAGGTATGATTGTTGAAGATTTTGTTCATTTGTTTATCTGAAAAGCTGCTTCTGATAGTAACATTATTTGTGTTAAACAACTCTAGAAATACTGATCAAAGGTGAAGCTCTTATATTAGACATTATGTTTGATGAACCTAGAAAATTCACAGACTTGTCATAAACTGGGGAGAAAAATAGTTTACCTGCCACAATTTTATGTATTAGGAGCTACATAATTATGTATTATTTATGAGGCACAGGAAGAGTGTGATTTTTTTCCCAAGGTCATCTAGGATGTATTTGGTTGATTTGGAAATGAATTCTACTGTAATCTCTTCACTATTGTTACACTGTATTAGGATCACTGTTATTTTGAAGTATCCTTGAAGTGATCTCTTGAGCAGAGAGTTACACAGTGAAAACTTGCATACATTTAATACATTTTTGTATATGTATTTTTATACTTCTGAGTAATCTTGAATCAAACATCAAGGAAGTATCTTATGACACAGTTGTTGCCCGAGCTTGTCCAAGACATCCTCACAAGGCTAGTGGACTGCAAGCAAACAGAAGACTTGTACACCCTGCAGTTGTTGCTCAGGGCTGGCAAAGTTACTCTGGAGCATATGAAATGAAATGCCACTAAAAAACTGTTAGGTACTAAAAGAACTCCTTGATGACTTTTATGTGATGAGTGTTTGAACTATTTTTCTTACTGCCTGCTCATCACACTAGAGTCTGTATTCAATAAAAAACCAAAACCAAACAACAAAAAACTGTTCAGCTTTCAATTTTAGTTTAATTGAAATTTTAACTTCCTAGGAAGCTCTTTTACTTTCAGTGGGAATTTAGGAACACAAATGCCTACTGGATTGCAGCCTGTCTGAATCCAGTGCTGCAAGATGTTTCTTTCCTTCTCTTTCTCTTATATTTTGTTCAGCTGAAGGACTCAAAAGAGCATCAGTCTGATGCTGACGTAACATGGGATGCCATTTATTGTTTTTGTACTATCAGAATTACACATTTAGGATTATCTGAAGCATACCCAGAGGAAAATGGGAGAAATGTGTTCCCTTTCCCATACATATGTTGATAGCACTATATAGTTAGGTTTTTGTCTATTTTTCCCTTTCACATTGCTGCTTCTATTTTTTCTTTTCATTTTTACTTTTACTGTTGGGAAAAATGTGACTTTCTACCTGTGCTGGAGGTGGACAAAGTGAAATCACAGTAAATGAAAACAAGTTGTTATGGGACATGAATTGGGATTCAGAAGTAGGATTTGATTTTGTGAAATCTAATTAGTGGTATTAGTGGTTGGGAGGTATGAAAAAAAGTAGATCAGAGGTGTTTGTAGAAATATGAATGTGAGTAAAAATGAGCTTGATGCTTAAAGCTGTTCTGCATTTTAAGGAATAAACAGTAGTAAAAAATGTTTAAATAATCTATGTAGGGATGATAATCTAGTACCCACATGATACAATCTCCTGAAAAAACTCAGTTCACAAGAAACAGTATTGTAAAATCATAGAGAAGTAGAAAAGAATTGAAGATGCTAGACTGTAATCCTATGATCGGAAAAAATAAAAGTAATTTGTCATCTCAAAAATGCAGAATTATCACCAAAAACATTAAGTATTCTCAGCATGATTTGTTCTGTGGATTGACTTCATAGGAAGTAGGTGTTCAGAGTGACACTTTGAGATATTAGTTCAGTGACATGTGTTTATAATTGTGAAATGTATGATGGGTTTCAGAGACATTATTCCTAATTTTCATCCCCAAAGAATGCAGGTTCCCATACCAAATAGATGGGAGGAAGTAAATGTCTTACTCCAAACAACTTGTAAAAAAAATATCCTCTTCTGACTGATTAAACTCAAAGGTTTTTACTGCAAAGAATTGTCCATCATATATTTCTTTTTGTCGCTGTTCCTTACTTTTTATCTGTGATTGCTGCAGAATAATTGCATTTCATTTTATTGCAGTGCAGTTGAAAAATTCATTATACTTTGACTGGAATGTGTGTTTCCATTGGTGTGTAATGTAGTGCAGTGTTAACCATTGTACTGTTTGATCAGGATGTTAACTCACGAAAAGGTTTCTATCTGGTTATATAAAGTCACATCAAATTCTTGAACTGCATGCCTTACGAAATTTTACAAAGAAATGCAAGTAGGACACATTAGTGAATCCTGACTGTATACACAAAGGGTCTTTATTTTTGTGCATACTATGGATCACTGGGTTCTCTGTTTTGCTGACTCATATACCATACAGCAGTTAGCAGTAAATTGCAGTGTGGTGTAGTAATTATAATCTGGGATCTCACTGTTGAAATCACAGTGATAGGAAGGATCAGTATAATTTTCAGCTTATTCTGCTTACAAGATAATCTTTAGAAAGGATTTTACTTTAAAGGAATTATATGTTAAAGATATGTACTATAGATTCCAGGAGGAGTGCACAAATGAAAATGTCTCTGAGGAATGAAAGCAAAATTTAAAGAAAATATCAAGATAAAATTTTAAAATGCAATGTATTATCATAAAGAGGTTAATTTATTTGTGTTTTCAAGTTTGACTGCTAAGCAATATAGTAGTATCATCTACTTTTTCCACTAGAGAAGATATTTATAAAAACTCAAAGGATATGGCAGTGAGCTGTAGAAGACTATGTAATCACTGAGGAATAAGACCTGAAGTCCAAGAAAAGTGTTACAGAAGGCATAACAAGTTACAATGATAGTGCTGTAATTAATGATCATAGTATTTAGTCTAAAAAGCTTTGTACCTCTCTTTAATTTCTAGCAATTGGTAGGATAGGATGACTAGACTTCCAAAATGAAATCTCTTACTTAGCAGATTACTATCTAGGCATCAGAAACCCAAATCCATTGCAGTGTTGTTACTTGGAGGAGCTGTGTTATCTGAGATGTTATGAGAGTGTGAACAATGGGAAAATGTAAAAAATAATGATGTGTTGTTAGTTAAATATATATTTCACTTATTTTATAGAAACTTTAATGAAAGACCTTGATGTAATAACAATTCCTAGTAAAGATGTTGTGATGGTACATGAACCAAAACAAAAGGTGGATTTAACAAGGTACCTAGAAAACCAAACTTTTCGTTTTGATTATGCCTTTGATGACACGGCTCCTAATGAAATGGTTTACAGGTATGTGTATATGCTTTTTTTTTGGTGAATCTTTTTTCTCATGTTTTTTCCATACTAATAACTGTTTCGCTTACGTTGGTCTTAGACTTTATTCCTATTCTCTGTGCTACCAGATGATATATTGCTACCTCCATTCTTTTACCTGTTTACTTTTGTTTTAACTCTTTATCCCTAATTTTTCACCTGCAATGTCATTTGCACCTCTGTTGATCTCAGTCCTACTCTCAGTCCTCCTCCAAGCCCTGCTGCATTCCAGACTCTAGCAACTATCACCTGCCTCCTCAGCTGCAGATTAGTTGAGCCATGTAATCAGTTCTCCATTTGCTTCCAGGTTGTTGTCTTATTATTAAGTGTGTGTGCAGCACCTGAGAAACCTGAGTCATGGCTTTTGGTTATCAGGAAACCTGGAGGAAAAGGAGAGCCCTAGCACCAAGGAGCTTGCAGTCTGAATATAGGATAATTAAGAGATGGAAACAAATCAGTAGAGGGTGAGAAAAGAGTACAAATAAAGTGAGAGAGCGTATATTGTAGTATTGCCGAGATACCTGAGCTAACTTAACTTCTGGAAGCAATCTGGCTGATGTAATGTGGAAGTGTATAGAGCTAAGTTAATCTTGCTGAAAATGCCAAATCTTTCTAATTTAAAAACAAACAGCAGCAAAGACACATATTCTCTTTTAGGCCAAAGATATTTGGATCTCCTTTTTGTTCTTTGCCCTTCTGTTTCAGTTCCACTGTTGGTATGCAATAATTCACCCAGCACTTAAAAGCATTTTAGAAGCTAAAAGCATGTTTAGAAGTAGCTATTTCCCTTGAACAAGTCACTAAATAAAGTACATACAGTAGTGGGCAAGGTTAGGTGCTGACGTAATATTGGTCAGAATCTTAGTATGCATCTAAGTAACTATGAAACTTTTTGCAGGAAATGTTGATATTAAAAAGGAATTTGGTGAAGATACAATTTTTCTTATGTTTGGGAAGTGCTTCCCATAGTCTTAAAAAGTATTGACAGAGAAATATCTTACTTCTTGTTTTTAATCCACAACTAAGAAGTCAAAGTTAGAATCATGCCATGATTGATAGTAGATAGCAAAAGAATTCTTAAAAGGTTGTGAAAATAAAAACTTTTGTCTTATGCTTGTTATAATTAGAGAAGGGGGTGAAAGGAAAATCTTATAAAACTAATACTAACAAAAGAGTTGTAAACAGCAAAGCTGTGTCCTTGGAGATTTCTGTCTTTGCTGATTGTCTGCTGGTAGCATCTTTCCTTTCCTTGACGCTAAAGAGCTGTGGGAGAGCCAGCTGGTTGACGATGCATGAAGTAATTATCTTGCTTGACAATCCATTCTTCTAATCTCCTTCCTTCCTTTATTTATCTGTGTGAACATGGTGTTTAATGTGAGGGGTGGTTTTGGTATACAATGTTGTTGTGTTTTGTACTGAGTTTTTTCAGAGTTTTTATTAGTTATGTAATACATTAATGGCAATATAGGAATATGTTTTAAGATTATTGTATTGAAACTGAAACAGTAGATCTCTAGTCTTTCTCCTTCTCCCTCATATGGTACAGTAATGATCATTACTTGAAGGGCAATCTGTTTTAAGGTCTTCCATAATAACAGAAATAAGAGCAAGATAGGTGTCATCAGGTGCTCTCATCAGAGCCTCAGGGTCATACTGAGGGAAAAAAATATTGTGTCAAGATGCTCCAGTTTTCTCCAATAAGCTAAATTTGGTGTGTATCTATGCTGAAAAAATGTTCAGTCCAAGGTAGAAAAGTACCTATTCTATTATTATTACTTCTACTACCATTATTATTACCGTTGTTACTATTGTTATTATTTTGTTTAACCTGTGTTTTAAGTATTTTTAATTCACGAATCACAACACAGAGTTGCAAATCTTTGTTAATATTAAAAAACACTCACTAGTTGGAATGGATACGCCATATGAGTTTTAAAGAAGAGCCAGTTCAGGTTTCTGAAAGACTAAGATTGCAAATAAAATTTCTAGTAAAAGTAAAGTTGGACTCTTTAACATAGTCTTATTTGGAGTTGTGTAAACCTTTATGAAAACCTTTTAAGATATATTTGTATTTTTTCTTACTTTAAAATAGATACATATAAGTCCCTTTTTAATAAATCAGCAAAAGAAACAGTTTCAAATTCAATCAAACAGAAGTAATGGAGTGTGCTTCTAAGGTGAATAGACTTTGTGAATTTTTCAATTTTTATATATAGAAAGAACAAACATCGAAATATGGGAACATCCTCCTGAGAAGACAGGAGGCATATACTTAGAAAAAGCAAAGCAAGAAAGACTAATGCTGTTCAGGAATAATTTGGTGTATTCTTGATGAAAATTAATGATTCAGCTAGACGTACATTCTTTACATAACCCTGGGTTGCTGCTGAATGGCTCAGTTTTGCCTATATTATTTTTGTAAGTGATCTTGTGTTTGAAAGCAGAATGAAAGAAGGTTGTAGCATCTCAGTGTTTCTGTAACTAATTTTTTGCTTTATTGGTCACTGTTAGGTTATTTATGTTTAAATAACTGGAAAAAGTTTAGAACGAGTTTTGCAGAGAGAATCATCTCCATGTGTAACTCTCCATCAGTTTACCCTTTGCTTTTGGAGTTTACAATGAAATAATGGTGATAAGCAGCTAAGTATGAGCAATAGCTCTGTGTTTCTTAAAACAAAATTAATTATCTAAAAAAAGAAATGGTGCTTCAAATAATACTTTTGGCACAGCAGATAGTACCTCTTAGATAAGTAGATTGTTTCGTTCTTAAAAGCTTGGTTATCCATTGTCTTGAGCCCTTTCTTAATGTATGCATGTTCTCAAAAATTGAGATGTGCAGTGTTGTTTTGGCCTCTTGTTTTTCAAATTTAATTTTGGAAGTTGATTTGGGGAGGAAGATAACTACAGAAGAAATTTACTATTGACAAAACACCTATCTGCTACACTGTCCTACTTTAATATCATCTTATTCTGGCACATTGAGGGAGCTCCTTGTGGGGTGTTGGATCATTAAAACAAGGAAATAATTGTTTTAGGGTTTAAATAAGGATAATGTTGTTGCAAAACAAATGAGAGAGACCTCGTAGCTTGTGATGGTTTGGAAAATTTGAATACCTTAGAGCAGGTATTACTTCAGAAATTAATGTATAAATGTCCTTTGATCTGTCAAGGTACAGGATCAATTTTATCACTTCTGGCTTTAGCATTTTAATTTTGCTTAGGGTAGTGGCATCTTAAAGTACTCCAGTTTTTTAAGTACAGTTTTTTTTGCATTTAAGGTTTACAGCTAGACCATTAGTGGAGACCATATTTGAAAGGGGAATGGCCACTTGTTTTGCATATGGACAAACAGGCAGTGGGAAAACCCATGTAAGTAGTTCTTCTACAAGTCAGCAACACTCTTTTTTTACATGAGACATTTACATGAGTTCTAATAAATAAGAAATATGTAAACTACAGTTCTGTGACTTTCATGATGCTCTTCTTTTTTTTTTTAAATTTAGACTATGGGTGGCGACTTTTCGGGAAAGAACCAAGATTGTTCTAAAGGCATATATGCACTAGCAGGTGAGACTTCACTGATCAGTTGGCTTTGGGCAGACCAGCTGAGATCAATAAATTTTCTACTCTTTGTCATACACATATAACAGTTTACTTACTATGCATTGCAGTGGAGCTTTGGTAACATCAAAAGTTGTTCCTAGATATGTGTCCTTTACATAGTAATGTAAATATAGACTAAACAAAAATGCTGTAACAGATTTAAGTTTATCATTTTGGGGTCTTCTGCATCTTCCAGTGTAATGTGGCAGTTTAGATTGCGTTGTTTTAGGCTTGGTTGACCCTGTCATTCTTGCAAAATGTGAGGTGCTGTAAAATAGACTGTTACACATGAATGAATCTTCACTAAATGAAAACACATTATGCGATTTCTTTTTATTCTGGAAATGTATTCACAGCTCGAGATGTCTTTTTAATGCTAAAGAAGCCAAACTATAAGAAGTTAGAACTTCAAGTGTATGCAACATTTTTTGAGATCTACAGTGGTAAGGTAAGTACCTGGTCTTTTTTTGAGAAAGAGGGAGTTTCTCAAAATTTTTACAAAATTTTGAGCTGGTCACATAAAAGATTTTTCCCTCTTTGTATTAAAAGCTGTATTTCAAAGAATTTTTACATTTCCCTTCCAATCATATATTTCCATGGAATGTTTTGCATTATTTGAAAGGGAATTGGAAATAAGATTTTTTTTTAAAGCTCCTGTTTTTAACTGTTCTGTTTTCCTCCTTCCCTAAGGTTTTTGACTTGTTGAACAGGAAGACAAAATTAAGAGTGTTAGAAGATGGTAAACAGCAAGTCCAGGTCGTGGGATTGCAGGAGCGAGAAGTCAAATGTGTTGAAGATGTTCTTAAGCTTATTGAAGTAGGCAACAGCTGCAGGTATCTTCTATAGCTTACACCAGTTTTTCATAGTATGTTAAAAAATCAGAAGATTTTTTTGGGCTGTCTTTGTAGTGATGCCTTTCCACATGGAAGTGAGTTTTTGATGATGTTGTCTGCAAGTAAAGAATGTACCTATGTTTTAAATAGAGATGTTTAGAGTTTCTCTGTCTCCTAGAGAGAAATAACTGATTGTTCAAGAGGATGTGAATTGCATGCATTATGTAAGCAGCTTACTGACTTAAATTCACATAATTTAAAAACTGGAATGCTGCCAGGTTCTTCGTCTGTAAAAGGCCTTGATGCATTCTGGCAGAGGTTAAGCACAATTTTTTTTTTTTTTTTTTTTTTTTTTTTTTTTTTTTTTTTTAAGACTTCAGCTTCATTGTTTTTAAAATTAGCCTTGAGCATGGACTGCTGCATGATCAGATAAAAATGCAGCATTTTTATGTAAATCAGCATTTTTTATGTAAGCTCTCTGATAATCTTAAATATATGAAGATCTGATTTTAAAAGGGAGGCAAAATGCTACTAATCTTCCATTTCCATTCAAGGTGATGGAAGAAGAGGCATAATTGTACAATGTATAGCAAATTATTAGTGTTCTATGTCTAGTGTCCACAAGAGTGCTAGACATTCTGTCAACATGTAAGAAAATATGGGAATCTGCCCTGAAAACCTACCTGATTGTGAGGTTAGTGTTTAACAAGATGGTCCTCTACCGATTAATGTCTTTCTCTGCTTGTCTCTTGTTTAAAGGACATCTGGCCAGACATCTGCAAATGCACACTCATCTCGAAGCCATGCAGTGTTTCAGATTATTCTCAGAAGGAAAGGGAAATTGCATGGTAAATTTTCTCTGATTGATTTGGCTGGCAATGAAAGAGGAGCAGATACTTCGAGTGCAGATAGGCAGACACGACTGGAAGGTGCAGAAATTAACAAGAGCCTTTTAGCACTCAAGGTAATTGATACCTTTCTATTGCCTTGGAGTAGGTGAAAGCCTACATATAATAGCAATGACAAGTAAAATTAGTGTTTTTGCGGGCTTTGCTTGTCTACATTGTTTATTGATATGACAGGTGAAAACCAGTTTATTAATTTTTCCTCTGCATACATGAGGGAACACTTAGTCCCAAGTAGAAACAATGCAGATACATTGTGCTATCAATTTACCTGTAGTTTTTGTAAAATAAAATCAAAACACAGTAAAACAACCAACCAACCAACTGAAAACAAAACAAAACCCCTAAACAAACAAGAAAACACCCCAAAAAACAAAGTTCACTAAAAGTCCCCATTGGTTGAATGGTTGAATTTGTAGACATTTCTGATATTATTCTGATATACACCTAAATATATATATATAAATGTGTGTGTGTGTATGTGTATATATATATATATATACACACCTAAAATAGCAATGCAAATGACTTACTTTGGTACTCAAGATATGAAATACTAACAGGAAGTGCTCTTACTGATCTCACTATTTATTTCTTTTATAAAATAAAAAATAATTCTACACTGACTACATACTTACTGCTGTTATATTGACTAAAGCAAAACAACAGCAGCATGTCCAGAAAAAACTAGCAAATAATTAAAATAAACCTTGAAAGGTGAAATCCATTTTTGTCAACCCTTCTTCATAGCAAATTGTCTCATACAGTCACTTATTTTCATACATCCAATACTGGACATATAAACACAGCTAAGAAATACTACTTAAATATTCGTCTGCCGTTTTTGTTTGATATTTTATAGTGATTAAAAGAGGCTCAGTCTAAATAGGGGAAGTAATTTTTTTATTTCAACCTGGAGAAATGGTGGTTTTGAATGTCTTAGCATTTGTCTCTGGTTTTGGTTACTTTTGCTTAGGTTTACTACTCTCAGCACCCCAAGATCTGTGTGGTTACCTTTTTATTCCCAGTATAAACTCAGGAGAAGAATGGTATCTGTCTAAACAGATCGCACAACACACCATAAAATTGTGATCTGTAATGTGTCATTACAAAATTATATGGCATGTTGAAAAATTGGAAGCAGCAATTCCAAAACTTTGGCCTATTCTGCTTTAACATCGAAGTAATCAATGCAGGGACCATTGGGTTGATGCTACTACTAATTTCTAAATGTAACTGAATAAAGCTATTTTGTTTTGGGGGTATGGTTTGAGGTTTTTTTTTTTTTTTCAGTTTATTTATTTTATACTGGATAGTGCTCATACAGCATATTTGGTTAATTTTTATACAACTTGTCTTTTTAATTTTAACAAAAAGTTCTGCTGCTGCTGTACTAGTGATTTTCATCCAAATTATTCAGGGAAAAATAAATGGACGTCTTGCAGGGGTCTAAAAGGTGGTACAAAACCATAAACATGGTTTCTCAATTACATGTTTGCCATTTTTCATCTATCCACAAACATTACACAACCTTTTCCATTTGTATTTAGAAGCCATTAACTTATTTTCAAGTTTTATTTAAACTAATATATTCTGACAAAGTGGTCTTTGTTGATAATCCAAGATTTGCTCTTTCCATCTGATATCACTCCTGTCTTAACCTGTTCAGGATTTTGGCACAGGAATTTGTTTCTGTAATGTCTTTGCATGGGAGTAGTGTCATTTTTTTACCTGGCTTTCAGAGATGTAATGAAAACTAAACATAGTTTAAAACTCTTTTACAAATTTAGAAGCTGGTGATGTCCTTCTGTAATCTTTTACTAGTAAGGAGATAATCCAATTCTAATTTTTCAGGAGTAAGCAAACTAAAAATCATTATAGTAAATTAAAATTTAAAACTTGGTGATTATCGTGTCAGTAATTCAATATAGGATATATCTGCAGCTGGAGGATTAGTTGAACTTCTGTAGAATTACTCACGTAACACAAAGGCTATTCCATCTATTAGTGGGGCTAAAAGCAAAGCTCTAATTTGAAATACATTTAAAGTTTGCTGTAGAAGTTCTGCGTGTAGATACTTTATAAATGCACCAAGGAAGCCTTGCATCTGAAGAGATGTCTGTTAAGGAAAACGCAGTCTGGAATTAATTAGTCAAAATATTATGATGACAACAATACAACAATTTAAAATTAAAATTGCTTTGCATAGGAATAACTTATTAGACAGTATTAGAGCACTGAGTGGACAGAAGTGATGGTTAGATTAATGGTGTCTTGGTGTCACTGTTGTACTTCGTTCCATGGAAGATAAGATCTTATTCCTGTTTCTTTACATAAAGACTGTTTTAAAACAGGGAGTGGCCTAATGTTTCCAAATGCCAAGTAGAGAGCTTGCTTCCAGTAGAGAGCTATGCCTACTTGGTTTGTGACCTGTGGAAGCTTTCAGAAAGTTTGTTTTCTTCTAAGCTGTAAAGAAAGACAGTGGTAAAATCAGAGTCAAAGCCACTGCTTTTAACTGATGCAGTTAACCCATGTCCCTGCCCATACTGTTGCTGCTGGCAGAGGTTGTAGCTCATTCAGGCTTTTGTAGCTGATACTCAGGAATAATTGTTAGCCTGAACATTTCCCATCAACACTGTTTAGTTTGGTTGTTTGGTACAATAGATGTAAACAATTTGGATGACACTGAGACAGTTTTTAGGCTTATAATCCTTTTAAAATTCTTTCCTCTGTACTGAGCTTAATGATAAGTGGAAGCCTAACGCTTATTGAATCCAAGCTTTTAGCAGTATATTTTAACGATATTTTTGGGAGAATGCATCAAATATAAGGCATGTATTTTCTGATTATGAATTGCATTTTTATTACCTTTATTTCACCTGTGATTAAGAATCTCTCTGTTCTTTCAGGAGTGCATTAGAGCCTTAGGTCGAAATAAACCTCACACACCATTCAGAGCAAGTAAACTTACTCAGGTGCTAAGAGATTCATTCATTGGAGAAAACTCACGTACCTGTATGGTAAGTTGATTTGTTAATTTGTTAATTGTTAACTGTTCTAACAATTACAAAGAGAAAAGACACTTCAAATTTAAGCTTTTATTTTTAAATTGTTTGCATGCTACTGGTAGTGTGTTGGACTTATATTTACTTACTAATTGACATTTTATTTGAAGGGGGGTTTCAAAAGAGACATTTCTCAATGGTTTAGATTGAATATTTGGAGAAATTTCTTCACTAAAGGAGTTGTCAAGCATGGAACCAGCAGCTCAGGGAAAGTGGTCTAGTCTCAATCCTCAGCAGAGATCTTCAAAAAGATGCATAGATGTGGTAGTTAGGGACATGCTGGTGGGCTTCGTTGGGTTGATGGTGAGACTAAATTAATTTAGAGGTCTTTTCCAGCCCAAGGGGTTCTATGATTCTGTGATTTTAGATAACTTGTTCCCTTCTCACTTTTTTATTGACCTTTCTTATTGCTGGTTCTAGTTTTCTAGCTAGGCTGGCAGCAAGAAGCACTTTTACCTTGGGAAGTTTTTTTGTTTGTTTTAGCAGTGTCTTAATTATAGAAGAGTCTTGTTTGATTTGCAGAATTCTGGAAAAGAGGGTGTAGACTGGAAATAGTGATGTGTTGTGGTTTTTAAACTACAAAGATTAAACTATAAGTTGGTAGCAAGCTCATCAGAATATGCTTCATGCTTTTGAAGGGGAAGTTGTTGGGATAGATGGGATGAATAGCTGTTGTTAATATATAAAATATATAAAATAGAACATAAATCAAATTTATTGTAAATATTATAAATTATTAACTATTATAAATATATAAGTATATATAAATATGTAAATAATTGTTGAATAGCTGTAAATGTGCATTTGTGCCAGTCTAAAAAACAGAATTCTTCTGACAGACGAGTGAAAGGACAGATAAAAGACCTGATGTCCAGTTGTTTTATTTTGGATCTGTAACATTTCTCTTTATGAGAATGTGAACTTTCTGCAGTACATACTGATTACTAGGGTTATTGTGCCTTTTCACAGTCTCCTTTGAATTAATTAATCTAAAGGCCAGAGAAGTCTGCAGGCCACAATGTATAAACCATGGTCTTTACCTTAAACCGTGGTCTTCCCTTTAGCTGTTAGGTATGGTTCTAATTCAAAAGTGGTGGTAAAATAGCATTTTTATTAACCTTTTTTCCTTCAGTTCTTTAATGAAACAACAGGATAGTTTTCTTTCCTAGTGTGACATACCTGGCCAAGCTGAAGATGTCCCTGCTCACTGCATGGAGTTTGAACTAAATGACCTTTAGAGGTCTCTTCCAACTCAAATCATTCTATGACGCTGTAACTTCATGAATTCCATGCAGTATTAGGTAGCTAGATGGTGCATTTCTAGCAGGTGTATCCACACTGCTGAAGGAGGTTTGAAAAATTAGCCTGTTGGAAGTTACTCTCTGCACATCAAATAATGAACCTTTGTGACTATTTCATGGAAGTTCTTAAATAATAAAAAGAATCCCCTCTGAAAGTGGAAATATGCTTGAACTATTTTTTTTAATTTTCTCATTCACATAACTACAGTTCACAATTAAGCTTAAGAAACCTCTTTGAGGACAAGATACTGCCTTCAAATCCATTCTTCTGCTATTTTTCTTAGTAGTTGTCACCACTTGTGACATTCTGGTTTTAGTGTTTGTTTACATGAATTTTTTAATTAAGAATGTAATCAGCGGAGTTTCATCTTAAGATACTGTCATGGTCTAACCCCAGCCAGCAATGGGGGTTATTACTAAGGACTTTCTCAACAGGAGAGATTTGGTCCACTGTTTAAATGTGCTGTTTGAATAAGGCATTTTCAACTATGTGCTGCTTTTCAATATGGAATACATATAAAATGATGTAGTAAAATCTTGTGGTTTTTAACTTACTAAAGGATTCCTGAAATAATAAAATACCTGCTGTATGTTTTCCACTTGCTTTCTGATACATGAATCTGTAAGGAGGATATTTGAGTAAAACTCACTGGCTAGTTTCTACACTTCCTTTTTGTGTGACTTTTCCTTTTGTTAATGGATATGCTGCAGTTGTAAAAGTTACATCTTTAGAGATGGAGTATTCTCTATGTATATAACATTAAACTATGATTTGGAAACTCTTTGTTTTTTCAAATTTATTCAGAAAAATATTTTGAAAGCTCATAATGTTTTGAAACTTTATAATGTGGACAGTTACAACTAGGATTTGCTTCCTTCAAAAGGAATCCAGAGACTTAAAATCAGCATAAGTATTTTTTTAAATTTCATCAGTCATTGCAGTTTTACTGTTCTTGTCTAAATAGTTTGAGAAACCATTTAAAGTTTTTGAAGACTTGCATTGTAGGGTAATGGATTGTCATTTGAAAGTTGCAGTGTGACTACATAGAATAGTCTCATTTTTTAACCAGTGCTGCTCCTTGACATGTTACATTCTTCATGTGCTGCAGTCACAGCTGAAGTGATCAGACCCCTCAGCCCTCCAGGGTGCGAGTAGGAATCTGCAGACTTACATGTCCCAACAGGCTGCTGATCGCACTGTGAAGGCTTACGAGCAGCATAGATAAGTTCAAAATAGGAAGAATGGTTATTACAGATCTTAAAGATGCATCTGTGCATAAGTAGTGCAGCTTTTTCCATCCTCTTTTGGAATTAGGAATAAGAAAGTGAGCAACAGAGAGGTCTAGGTATTACAGAATCATAGAATAATGGGGTTGGAAGAGACCTCTAAGATCATTGAGTCCAACCTATGACCTAACACCTCAACTAGACCATAGCACCAAGTGCCATGTCCAGTCTTTTTTAAAACATATTCCGAGATGGTGATTCTACCACCTCCCTGGGAAGAGCATTCCAGTACTTTATTATTCTTTTGGTGAAAAATTTTTTCCTAATATCCAACCTATACTTTCCCTGACGTAGCTTGAGACTGTGTCCTCTTGTTTTGTCAGTTGCTGCCTGGTGGAAGAGACTGACCCCCACCTGTCTACAACCTCCCTTCAGAAAGTTGTAGAGAGCAATAAGGTCACCTCTGAGCCTCCTCTTCTCCAGGCTAAATACCCCCTGTTCCTTCAAACATTCCTCACAGGGTTTGTGCTCCAAGCCCCTCACCAGCCTCGTTGCCCCCTCTGGACGTGCATGTAACGTTGTAGGGGATTTTTGTGGCCAAAATGTAGGACTCAGCACTTAGACTTACTAAACTTCATGATGTTGTACTCCTGTCCTGAGTCCTCCTGTCCGGCCTGGACTGGACTTGTTGGGGCCTGAGGAGAGGTCATACACTAAGACTTGTGCACAAGTTCATGTGTCCTGAACAGGGTATTCACAGAGACTAAGGCACCAACAATGGCACTTCCCTAGAGCAGCTGTACCTTATGCTCTTTAAAGTGTTGGAGCAGCCTCCTAGTGTTACAGCAGTGGCAGTAAATAGGTAAAGCAAAAGCCACACAGACAAAGCAAAGGAAAACATGGAATTCCTTCACCACTTCCAATTGTCAGGATAGTTCAGCTGAACCCAGGCTGTATCACATGTAACAATGACTTGGAAAGCCAAATGCCATCAATCTAAACATTACTGTCTGTGGCATGCTCTGAACATTAAACTGGTGGGAGAGATGTATGCATTTTTCACATTATTTGAGTTTGGAAGGGCTTTAGGAAGTTTTAGGTTTTTGTTAATTAGCACCCAGAACAGGAGACATGCAGCTGTGTGATCTCAAATATAAGCTTGGTGTTTTGTAATAGTAATTGATATGTACCAGTATTAGAGGTTTTAACTTAGGTCTGTATGATCACTTCCACCACATACTTTTCCTTTCTCCCCAGAAGGAGAAATTCCTCTTGGGATGACTACCTCTGCTTTTATACAGGAATGTCAGCAGCAGGATGAAAGAGAAGACAGGGATTATTTAATCACCATCAGTTTCAGTCTCCTGAGTCTATGATGGCACAAAAATATTAAGTGTATAAAGGTGTTTGTTCTGGGTAGAGCCTTTACGACTGCTTAGGGAAGAGAACAGGTGGAAAAATTGGACTACTGAGGGAAACTAGGAGAAATAATGGTTCCACTTTTCCCAATCACAGTTTTGATTTTTGCTGATTTCGGGAAAGGTCGTGCTATCTTCAGAGTAATTAATTTAACTGGAAAAAGAAAGACCTTTAGATTCCAGATAGGTCTCATGAAAAGTTTGCCATCAAGTACTGTTTACAGGTAATTTCTAATTGAGAAAAAATATATCTCTTCTTAGGAAAATAATTAAACTCAAGCTTATGTTTACTACTGTTAAGTTCAGCTTACTACTACTGTCAGTTCAGTGGTGTGGCCAAAATCAGCACAAAATCTCCTTGAACAGAGGAGAGTCTCAAAACATAAATTAAAAAAAAAAATGTAATTGTTTACAGGTTATATTAGACTTAGGGTCTACTGAGTTGCATATTTCCTTTTTTGAGGAGTGTATTTTTTAAATTACGATTTCACATTTACACAGTGTGTTACCAAGATGATTGGGGAGATTGAATTTCTATGAATTCTTAATGTTCCTTCTAGGATTAAAAAAATTAAATTGAAGCTTTGACCTGACATCTGTGTCCCTGGGATGTCGTTGTATAAGGACAGCTGTACATAGCAGACATTTTTTGTTGAAGATCAGAAATGAAACTGGAGATTAAAAAATATATACATTTAAATTTATCTGCCTTTTCATCTGTATAAAGTGATTTGCTAATGTGTGGCTTGTTTTCTCCAGATTGCTACGATTTCTCCAGGGATGGCATCATGTGAAAACACTCTAAATACATTGAGATACGCAAATAGGTATGAAAAACGTTATTTCTTAAAGCTGTACTAGCTGTTGGTGACTGACATTTCAAATAGTGTTGTTCCACGATGTATGATTATTTTAGCTACTTGAATAATTCAGTGGTAGTTGTGTTTCTTAATAAAATTAAAACTAAATTAGTGATCCGGGCTCACATTCAATTTAAATTGTCGCTTTGTATGACCATTACAAAAGAATCTACTAAAAGTGCATCTATGCCATTATCCAGAGATGGATAATGTGGATTGCAAGGTATGTAGGACATGCTACTATTTTGTAGTTTTGCCCTTTGAAAGGACCATCTCTTGCATTAGGGATAGTTGGTGTTCATGAAGATTCCCTAGAGTGTTGGCTAAATACCTTTCTGTGATGTGATTTTTTTTTCCCCATCCCTTTTGTGGAATTGTGTGCAGTTGCCAGTCTGTATTATATATACATATAAAATTTCATGCTTCCCAAATTCAAGCAAATATCTGACAATCCTAAGTAAAGGCTTAAAAAGGCAGAAAATCCAACAGGCTTTATGATCACTGTAGAGAAATTAGCACCTACAGAGGCAGATGAATCACTTGAGACCTGTACTGCTGTAAGAAAGTGCTCAACTCTTTCCAGTGAGTGTGAAAGGAGCCCTCACCTGCTGCAGTTCTCCTGTGTTTAAAGTCTGTGGAGATGGTGCAATCAGGTCCTGTGTGACCCTGCAGCCAGACCTGTGACTCAGAGACACCCCATGCTTTGCTGCAAAGGACAAAGGTAGTAGACAGCCTCTGGGCCATCAGAAGCCCTGGCTTTGCCAGAAGAGGCTACCATCTGGGGGTCTGTTTGCCCCAGTGAGAGGTCAGGCAGAACCACAACTGCTTCTGCTTGTCAAGGCACAAAGGCCTGCTAGGAAGGCTTACTGCCTGCTTCTCTCAGTCTTCCAATGCCATTGTGTCTGGTTAATGGAGCTAGTAGTAAACCTGCCTGGCTTGGACCAGTCTGTCTCATTTCCTCCTTGAAGAGAATGAGGCATCTACTCCTCTGCTTACAGTAACATGATGCAGGACCTTGCACATTCAAGATTTGTTGGAACTTCTACCCCTTATACAACTTATGTTACTGAAGTGACTCTGTAAAAAGTCACTACAAAACAAAATAAGCACCTCTTTCTAGTGTACTAAACAGTTGTACTGAAACTGTTTCCTCCTCTTCATTTTAAAATTGTATGTTGTATATACATATATAAAATACATGTATGTTATATATATATATACATAAAATTGTATGGAGTATATACCTGTCACTGTAATGTTGCTTCATGTGTTTTGTATAGATTTTTTTTTTCAAAATACATAATTTCATAGTAGTGAGTTTTAGGTGCTGGACACTAGTGTGTGGGCAGAAAGTGAAATAGAATTTACACTTTTGTATCTGTAGTTATTTATTTTAAAAGGAGTAATTTAGTGGAATGTTGAATGTAGACCAAATCATGTTAACTATACAAACTGAAATCTGGAATTACTCTTCACAAAATACTGCTGTTATAGTCCCCTGCAAATTAGCAGCACTGGTTTTGTTCAGTTTTTCTAGTGATCTGAACTGTTTGCAGGGAGTTTAAATATGTCGAAACACTTGTGTTATAAAAATTATTTTGTAGTTAAACAATTAAAGAAGTATGCTAAACAAAGAGTTGTTATTTTAACTGTGTTTATGAGAACATTTTCTTTTAATTTGCCACTGTATTTTGCTGCTGCAGAGTAAAGGAATTTGGAATTAGTCCTTCGGACATTCCCTTCTCACAGGGTAGTGGCAGTCGCTCTGATCTCTCTCCTTCCTATGAGTATGACGACTTTTCTCCTTCAAACACCAGGTCTACTTCATTCTATACATGGAACTTTATTTTTAAGTTTTCTTTTTGGCTATGTAATTTTACAGACCAACCTTTCATTAGTCCCCTTGCCTTGAGTCACACATACTTTGTTTTAATTTTGGTTTAGCAGGTGATGGTTCTGCATGATATGCAATCATCTTCCCAGCATTTTGTTTACCCTCCTTAAACATCCACATTCTGTATCCAGGCTTGCTAGTCTCCTTCATACATTTAAAAAAATAGAAATGGTGATGTCACCTTTGTACATTTAATGGACCAAATCTAACAATTCTGTGTTTAGGGTAATTTGAATATCTCTGAAAGGGAAAATTTTCTTACATATATAAATATATATATACATATGTTATAAAAGCTTTTCAGCACTCTGAAGATAAATGAAAAATATTTTCCATTATAGTAAATAAGTGCTAGTTGAAAGAACATTTTTCCCATTAAAGAAATTAAGAATATGTTCTAAAACTTGCTCTCAGACTTTCATGCATCTTTCATGAACTTGCTTTTAAACAGGCTTTTTTTTTAACAGAATCATGGTAAATCTTTAAACTACTTCCATGCTGCAAGAACCTACCATTTTATTAAAATATTTTCACCTTTGAAATTAATGAAAGGATCTATTTATTCTCTGAAATTTTTGGTTGCAAGTTATTATTTTCTTTAGAATTTCTTGGTTCATTTGCTTATAACAGCTAGTGCAGAGTTGATTGACTAACTTTTTTAAAGCGCAGAAAAAGAAAGATTGTCAGGTCTAAGGTGCTAAATGTCCTTTTCTTTGAAATATAAGCCATTGTCAAAAGGTTAATGTTGAGGGGTTTGAAATTTTTGTCCTCCTAACTGTTAACAAGTAGTAAGATTTCAATCAGAAAATACTTTTTTCCAGATTTACTTTAATCTACATGCAAGTAGTAAAAATGCAAGGGTCCATGCTTTTTAGGAACTGAACTAACATCTTTTTGTCACTGAAAGTACATTAAATATGTGAAGCTGACATCATCATCTTCCGTATTAAATGAATTGATTGTGCATAAACCTGTAGAGCTTTATTTTTGGTTGTGACTCTTTTACACAAGAGGTTACTAATTTTCAAATGAAACATTTTCTGCCCATAGGGTGAAGGAGCTGACAGTTGATCCTAGTGGTGCAGGAGATATCCGTTCCATTATACACCATGCTCCCAATCAGATGGATGACTTAGAGACACAGTGGGGTGTGGGAAGCTCTCCTCAGAGAGATGATCTCAAACTGCTTTGTGAACAAAATGTGAGTGGTTTACAGAATTACATGGAAAGAGATGATGACGTACAGTGGGCAGAACAAATCCAGATCAATAGCCTGATAGTAGGATCTTAAATACATACAGCATACCTCTTCACCTTTTCTGTTTATGGTATTACGCTCATTTCTGTACAAAAGAAAAACCAAACCCAAAAATGTTTCTTGAATGGTTTCTTTATCTTCCTTGCTGCCTAGGGCTTTTAGTGTCTAGGCAGGCTGTGATAATTTTTTCCACAATAGCATCACATTCTTTTAGGCAGTTGGAAGTATCCTAAAACTCATCTGTTTTATTTAACCCTTTCTGGTTTTGAGCATTATTTTCCCTGCATGCAAACCTCATTTCAATCTGAGTTTGCCTTTCCCTGCATATGGAAATCTGGCTACCCATCATTTCTCCTCCTAGCATCCTGGTTTTCCTAGGGTGAAACCCCAGTACACTGTTTGGGAAGACAGCCACATGGTCTTCCCAATATGTCTCCCTGGGCTGGAGGAGTAGGGAGCTGAGAGATGTCTTCTAAAGGGCATTCTTCCTCATTGCTACTTATCACCTTTAGTCCTGGTCCTTAAATTTCAAAAGGGATTAAAACTCTATTTGTGAAAATGCTCATGAAAAATAGAAAGGAAAAATCCTTACAATCCTAACATTTTTCACAAGACTCAGTTTTGTAAGTCATCTCTTTGTGATATCTGTGGTATATCGCATTTTAGTAAATAACTTTTTTTTCCAGGACTCTGTTTCATAAGAATATGGTAGTGATTCCTGGAGTTTCCTATTGGTTGTTCCTTCCAACCAGATATCCTATCATATCACTTGTTCATTGCTCATGTTGAATGAATTTAAACCTTACTTAATGTTTTAAAAAATATTTCAAAGGCATTATGTAATGAATGACACTGTCTTCCTAAACATTAATTACAGCCTACAGAACTTTCCTCTCCTATTGCTGACTATGCATTTCTAAAGAAGCCTTCTTTAGAAGGCTTCAGTTTGTAAATCCCTATGTGCATTCCTCTAATTTATCAGTCACTATGTACATTTTGGATTTCTCCCATCACATTTATTTAACTTTTTTTCTCAAAGGTTTAATTTAATTTTGATTTCCTGGAATGTGTTGAATGTAATTGCTGTTCTCTTTTTTTTTGAAAGTTTTTTCCTGTCTGTTGCAGCATGCACAACAAAAAGCCCTGACAGAAACCCAAAGTTTTCGGTGGGCATTAAAATCTATTAGAAATTATAATTCTTCCTTTGAGACGTCCTCTTCCCATTATTTTAACTTGTTATTTTTATGTGGAGTATTCTGACTTCTGGTATTTGCTAGGATTAGTGACTGGAAATTTTTGGTTAATATTCATTAAATTTAACTCTGTAAATGTTTTGAATTTATTGCCCCTTCTATTCATTCCTGGAGATTTTCTTAATACTTCTTAGAAGTATTCTATTCTAGTAAATTCTATTTTTGACAGGTTTTGCCTTCTGCATATTTTTTTCCATGTTCTATGATGAAATGGGTCACATTCAACATTTTTCTGTAGCCACCGTTCTTTCCAGGCTAACAAGGTTAACTACTGTTTTTAGGAAGAAGAAGTTTCTCCGCAGTTGTTTAGTTTCCATGAAGCTGTGTCACAAATGGTAGAAATGGAAGAGCAAGTAGTAGAAGACCACAGGACCGTCTTCCAGGTAAAAGATAGACCTCCACTTTGTTTTATCCTAATTCAGGAATCCAGGTTTTCCCAATGGAAGTGCGTACTCTTGAAGATGGAGGGGCATCTGATCTGTAGTCATTCTGTCTGTCAAAGATTCCTAAACTGATTTATTATATTAACCTGATTGTATCAAACAATCAGGAACAGATTCTGTAACACCCATTCTTTTTCCCGTGATTAAAGAGCGGTATATTTCTGTGTCATTACAGAAATTCAGTAAAATTTTCCTTTGCTGGGCTGGTAATTAATAGTTATCTCTCTGTCGGCACCATTTCTGTTTGGTCATGTCCCTCCAAGTATTATGTCTGAATCTGAGATCCAGAAGAGAGATATGTATTTCAAACTGCCTGTTTGATTCCATGTTACAGATACATAAAGATTTCACTTGCCGTTAGTCAGGGCCTTTGGAAGCAATACTTCCCGTGTAGGTCAGTGCGATGGAACCTTTTACAGTCACAAAATCATGGCAATAAGTATGAGTTACTTGTTTTCAGAAGGAAATGTGGATTGCTTCTGTTCATAACTTAAAGCCTTCAGGCAAGCTGTCTGTTTGGCCCATCTGTTCCTGGAGAACAGCAGACCATCAATACACATTATCTCCTCAGCCTAGGTATCTAGCTTAGTGGAACATTGATGTGTGTTCACAATAAAGCAAGATGCTAAATAAAACATCTTAACAGCGGATGTAGAGGTCTAGTTATTATGAAACATTAGCCCTGAAGTAAAACATACCGAAGTGTGAAAGTCATGTGCCATATGCTGAGGCTATGTCCTAATGAGGCTTCTGGAGAGACAAGCTGCATTAGTTTAAGATGTAATTGCCTCTGTGTGTCCATCTGGCCTTCTGCTGGAGATTATTGCTCCTTCTGGCAGTCTCTGGGAGGAAATGTGTCCAAGCCTAAAGTCCCTTCGTTCACAGCATGGTTCGTTAGTAGTTTATGCTGTGTGTGTAGGTGGGCTGCACTGATACAAAATCCAGCAGTGGTACTAGTCATCTTCTGTCAGCGTTCTTCTGAAAGCAGCTGATCCGCAACATCCTTTCCTAACAAAAATGGCTAAAATACACCAATGCAACCTACAGCGCTCTACGTGTTCAGGAGTCTTTGTCTTCAATGTACAAGGTTATGTTAGGTGAGATGAATCTTACCCCAATGTAAGCTCCATCTCTCCTGAAAGCCAAAAACAGACAAGGGGTTTAGACTACATTTTCAGTTTTGCTTGGGCTATGGAGGGAAGGACTTCATCTTAATATGTCAAACCAAGCTTTCTAGTATGCCTAGAACTGTCAGTTGCCTTCTTTTTTTTAAACCAAAGCATTTCCAATGGGCTCAGTTCTTCTGATCACAATTTTGCATGGTTCTGTAACACTTAAACTCCTGGCTGCATTCTTCTTTGCTGCAAACTTTTTTTCCCCCCTCTTATTTTTTGTAATGCTCAGAGTGCAAAGATGAGCTTCTTTAAGCAATCTTTATTGTATTACTATGTGGATTAGATCATAGAATAGTAAGTTTAAAATAGGTATCCTTTTATATAGCTTCTCTCAAAACAGGGCAGAATTATCTTGGTTCCTTGAATGTAATAATGACCCTGTGACTAGTGGTAAGTAGCCCAAACTTAGAGCCTGATTTCAAAGTTTGACTCTTGTCTAAGGGGAGACAAACATGACAAAGTTCTGTTCCCTAATTTATCAGCTTTACAGCCATCTGATGTTCTGAATTTGAAGAGAACTGGGTAGCTGGGGTTTGCCTGTGACGATGTGACCACTGAAATTAAAAAAATAATGTAGAAAAATGCAGTTTTGCTGCGTTAGGAATTAGATTTCATTTTTGGATTGAAATCTGTTTTATTGAGGTGACTTGGCAGTACAATGTCTGCTCATTGTGCGAAAAAGTCTTAATCAGCTCTTTGTCTTGACACTTTGCTGATGTATTTTGTTGTATTTTTAAACTTTTGTTTAGGAATCCATTAGATGGTTGGAAGTTGAAAAACTACTTCTTGAGATGACAGAAGAAGTGGACTATGATGTGGATTCTTACGCTACCCAACTTGAAGCAATTCTAGAGCAAAAAATTGATGTTCTGACTGAACTTAGAGGTAAGTTGCTTTTAATTACTCCTCTGTCCACTGTTAGCATATGCCATGGAGACTTGCAGTAAAAACAAGGAGGAAAAAAAAGTGGTTATATTCTAGGGTCTTTTTTCCCGGCTTATGCTTGCCATCAAGCTCTGAGTATTTTAGTTGTTACTTTTTTTTTTCAACAGCCTTTGTTTGAATTTTGTCAGCCTGTGTTTGTTGGAAAACAAATTGCATCTAATTCTTAGTGCCCAAAATTAACTCTTCCACTTGTCTTCTAAATTCAGCTTGTCAGTTGGTTATGTCCCTGAGATTAATTTTCATTTTTTCCTTTTCATTTTTTGTTAACTGTTTATACTCCAGGAGACATATTGCTATATTGGCAAAAGCTCAAGGGTGGGTTGGGGGGTGATGGAACAGTTTTCTTGATCTATGTTAAAAAACCATAAGTTAAAATCTCCGTTTTTACTCAGTCAGAGTATCTACTTGGAATACAACAAGCAGATCAGATGTGTCCTGCTTGCCTCCTGAGCATGCTAGTGACACTTTTGCTAGGAGTTGGGAGTTTCCTTTTGTTTTTTACGGATGGTGGCTTTCTCTTCAGAAGACAACAATTTGAGACACCAGCAGTGAAAAAATGCAGTTTAGGTGTCTACCCGTTCTTCAAAAACTTAGCAGATACTGTTTTTGAAAAGGTTGCTGGAGGTAAAATGCTAAGAGATCTCACATCTTTACAGCCAGTTTAATACAACTGTAGTTTTACAGGAGGAAACGTGTATAAAGTCAAAAATGCTGTCTTGGTATTGTCTATGTTGTGCTCGTGTTATGTAATGGTCACTGAATTGTTCAGCCTTTATTTCTCCCACTGTGCAACTGACATATTTTTGCCATCATTTTGGTTTCCTTCTTCCCATTCTTGGGCATGTTACTGGGGAATGGAAGGGATAGGAATATAAAAACGAGGATGCTACACTTCCTTCCTTAGGTTGCTCCCATTCTTACTGAATTACAATGAAACCAGTGAACGATGCATTTAACTATTTACAGTGAGTAAGTTGCAAAACTTATTCACAAATGTTTTTCACATTCATAAGAAAACAGAGGGGACTAGAATTTACTGTTCTGGGTTTTAGAATGTACTAGAAATGGCAGACTGTACTCTAAATATGATTTTGTATGTCCCTAAAAGTGGTTTGGAAGGTGCTAGGAAGGAATAGGATATAGGTAGTGTATATCTCCCTAGACTCTCTAAAATAGGAGGAGAATGGAAGTGCGAACAGTTCACATGCTGGGAACACAATTGTGCAGTTTACAAACCTATCCTGCCTAGAGACAGGGTAGTAGTATCCAAGAAGACACTAAGTTGCTAAGCAACTTGTTTGTATGGTTTTGAATGCAAGCTTAGCTCATTCCCCTTGTAGTTTGTAGCGTCAGCTATTTTTGTGGAGGAATGTTCTTTGTTGTTTGTTAAGGCTGGGATGTGGAGGATCAGGGCTTAGTTTCAAAATCTGTTGAGCACAGGCACATCAGTTCTCATTCTTCTGTTTTTTCCTCAAAGACAAAGTGAAATCCTTCCGGGCAGCTCTACAAGAAGAGGAACAGGCCAGTAAACAGATCAACCCGAAAAGACCACGTGCCCTTTGAAAAGGGCCTCTGCTGCTAAAAGAATCATGAACCTGTACTGCTGTAGCACACATTTGTTACAAAACCTAGTGACCGAGAGAACTCAACTACTTGAAAGTGTAAAAATGTTAGAAATGTTTGTGGAAATCTCCTGTTTCTTATTCACCTGAATGACATTTTCAGTTTTATGTGAAATGCTCCTGATGTCTACAAAATGCTTCTAGACCAGACAGCACAACCTGCAGGGTTCAGATCTGTGAAGCACTTTGTTCTAAATATTTCATTTATTCCAATAGTGAAATGTTTGGAAATACTTGCCATATTTTTAATAAAGTAAAACTGTGGCCATTAAAAAGTCACAGCACTTCCTTCTGACCATGTTCAGTTTTATGACAAAGACCAGCTGTGCAGTTTAAAATTGTGGCGTGCATGCACACCTCACTAGTGGTTTTACGTAACTTCTCTTCCACAAACAGCTGTGCTTAACTCTTCCCATTCTGTGCCTTGATGAAGGCTACTTAACCCTAAATATCCTCTTTCTGAAGCACAGCCTTAAAAAATACATTCCTTATTTGTCAATATAAATTACTTTAGTGTGTGTGTTTCAAGAAGACTTATTTTTTGGTGGATAGTTTCATTTCACAGGATGTGCCATATCATTTTAAGAGGAACTGCAGGCTGTTAAGAGTGGTTGAACAGCTGGACATTCCATTTTTCGTGTGAAAGTCTGGAATCTTGATTTATTTGGGTACCATTAAGAATAGTTATACAATTTTAACATCTGTAACAATTAAAAAAAAAAACCAAAAAAACCAACAAATCAACAAAAACCCACAAAAATATAAATCAGTCAATGTATATTAAAGGGTAATGTTTTAAGTACTGAGGAGAGTTGTATCTTAGGATAATGCAGATAATATGATATGTGGTATGGTGTGATAATGCTATGTATGGATAAGTTAACTATCAAACTTTGGGGATATATATGTCCATACTGGCCTTTCACATACTGTTTTAAAAACTTGGATTTTGATGCATGACAAAGTTACATGTACATTAACCGTAGTTTGCAGGTAGCTTGAGTAGTTCTGTTGCTTTAAGAAGTAGCTAATACCTATTTTTCCCTTTGTACAGTGCCAGCAGCTGAAAAGTGGGGTGAAATTGCATCATTTGACGATTTTGCACAATACCTCTACCTAGCGCTAATAGAAATCCCACAAATACCTGAATTCTCACAAATGGCGCCATGTGTATCAGCACTTTTTAGGTGGTGGCACTCAAGTTATTTTTGCAAGTCAGTATGCAAAAAAGATTGACTTTTCATGTAAGAACTGTAGATCTCTCTAGGAGTTCTCCCTCTTTCCAGGACTTTGTATCAGCAGACTTTCCCTTGGAAATGTTTAAAAACTACTTTTGGAATACAAGCCTGGAGGGGGGAATAAAGGGAAGGCAATGAAAAGAGAGTTAAATGAGCCAGAACTTCTTGTAGTGTTTAATGTTTGTATCTCCCATAGAAAGGTAGGCTATGGGAAGCTCTTGTCGCATCATGGTTAAAAATAAAAAAATCCTCTTGTGTGTAAACATGAAAACTGAAACAATGTAGATTTTACATAATGTGTTTAATAAATTAAGCTATTAAATGAATTACATCTGAGAATTTCTGTTATGCTTTGGGAATGGTTTCAATTTGTAAGTACATCAGTTGCATTTTTGAAAAGGCCTCTGCTTTAAAAATAAAGCTAACTCTTCTATACAAGTTCGTTACATGGAAGTTCCCCAGACCATTGTCCTGACTTTAATTTTGCAGCAGATCTTAAAAAAAATCACACCTCTTTCTGAATATTTTTTTAAGATCATCACCCATCACAACTAAAAGGAAAAAAAACCAATGGAATAGAAGGCAATAGCTTCTGTTAGCAGGTGATAGTACAGCTTATCATATGGTATCAGAGGTTTTCTCTGAAGCTGCTCTAGACAATTCTTACTTTCTAAAAAGCTTCTGAAGACAGAGGCATCCCACAGGAGTAACAGTGGCTTCCATACTACCTGTCCACGCAAGCTTAGCCCCACGACCAGGCTATGGCCTACTGTGGGTCCCAAAAGGACAGCACCTTTTTACAAAGCCCTCTAAATTACACGTGTCCTGTCAAGTAGCACATGCTAGCTGAAACTGTCTACTGCCAGTCTTTGTACCAGAGCCTGCTATAAGTCAGATCTACACCTGATACTGAAGCAGTTAGAATAAAGAAAAATTGATAGGGCTGGCTGTGGTACTTGAATTTCTGCAGCTCATTGCCATTGTCTGAAATTACTTGAATAGGATTCAAACAAGCTTATACTCTATTCCTCTCTAGTAAAACAAAAGCATTAAGGAAGTGTGACACGTATCTTCTGCAGTTGTTCCTTCTGTATCAGTCCAACAATATTCTTTGTGGCTATCTACCTAACTCATCATTTGGTTCTGCATGAAGTGAAGCAGCACTAGAATTGATGAGTTATTAAATTGTGAAATAAATGTGCAATTCAGTTTTTGAAGTCAATGCTTCAGGATGTCTGTAAATTTGAGTGCCTATTTCTATACATGCTTCTTAATCAATTACTTTTTAAAAAAACCGATGGGATGTCAATGGGGCTGCTAGCTGGACTCAGGACATCTTTTCCAACCTTAATGATTCAATGATGTGTATAAATAAAGTTTTTCTTAGAGGAGGTTTTGCTAATTTGCATGTACTGCTCTAAATTCCACTGAAAGCTATGATCTGTGCTAAAACTTTTTCCTGCATTAACAGTGAAGGAGTTACCTTAAAAAATAGCTACTTGAATTTAGTTAAGAAAAAACCCAACCCTGCTGTCTGTGTTTATAAGCCCTGGCCCACTGGTAGGTTTTTTCCCAGTTCCTACAGTGGAGGAAAGGGTAAAGGCAATAATGTAAATGACATCAAGCCCACAAGGTAAATTCTTTTGTTTTCTCACTGGGGTTCTCTAAGAGAAGCAGATTACTAACAAGCTTGGAGTGCAGGTATTTATCAGAAGGATGAGAGACAGGCATCTCAAATCAAAAGGCAGTGTTTAAATACACTTTAAAACAAACACACCAATGATTGATACCAAAAAAAGGAATTACTACAACTTTCCTTTTGTTGTCCAGACCCATTATGGGATGTACTGTTGAGTATTGTACAGGAATATACTGAGATGAAGTCCATCATTGGAGAACATAGATTTCAATTATCATCAATCCATGTTTTGGAGATATATAGGAAAACACAGTCATGAGGCAGCCCAGCACCTCGCTTCAGCTGTGAATTTACTGCTTTTAAAATACTGAGCAGCAGCTTCTTGCCTACTGTCTGAGATAAAATCACATCTAACATTTTATTTTGAGTCCAAGCATACGCACTGTATTCTCTTCATTGCTTTTATGAGGAGCTTGTCCCACTGCACTCACTCTGGCTCGGGTAAAACTTTGGTGAAAAAATACAGCATCTTTCATTCTTGTAGGAGTATCTATGAAAAATGGATGCCTTCTGAATTGAAGCCATGTAGCAATCTGAAAGATTGAAATATGTGTATTACAATTCTAGCAATTTAAACTTCAGCTTGAGGCATTTTTAAGATGTGCAAAGAAAATAGCATGAAAGCAGCCACCACTGATCAGCTGCAAAGAAAGAATTTTAACAAATCTGAAAATAAAAGTTATTAGCAAAATTGCCATTTTAGAGATGCAGGTTTATTTTCAATGCAGTTACTTACGTTGGACCCTACCAGGTTCACTATGTTTTTTCAGAGAGCATTACCTGTCTTAGTTCTCCAAATGAGAAACAGCTAGGAACTTTTATCCTGAATTACGAGAGGATTCATGATGCCACCAGAAGAGTGGAATATAGCAGTCAATCATTCACATTTAAAATTGTGCTATAGACTACAGCCTAATCCTCAGGGCAAAGAAAGGCCATGTAAGACTCTAGAGAAATTTTAATAACCAATTTACTCTATGGCCATTTTTAAAGGAGACACAGAGGGTCTAGTACACAAACACCTGAAATAGGGATCCTTAGCTAGTTGCTCTCAATATTATAAACAAGCATTTAAAATATATAAGTAGGCCTTAAGTGTTTGCTCATGTTCAGGACTGGAAGCAAGGAGTGTCTGGTACTAAGAGGGAAACCCTGCTATTCCTGTGCAACCCAATACCAATCTATGCTACGCAGCTACAGATGCAGATAGAATTTAAAGAAGCTTAAAAGGAAGGCATAAAGAGAAAAAAAAAAGAATACCGAATGAAATCATCTATATCCATTGAACGGGCTCGTTTTTCAGAGTAACCCGTATCTTTTAGAACTGTCTGTATTTTCTCTGCAATTTTGAAGTTTTCAGGGATTTCCTGTCAATGAAAAATGGGATAGAAATTATTTTCTATTCAAAGCACAGAAAAATGTTCATTTAAATAATCTAATTATTTCCTGCTCTTAGAATAGTTCTTGTTTCAAGTGAAAAAACATAAGTTATGCTTTTTCTGTTATGGATTATTGTATTATTGTGTTGAATCTGAATTTTTATATCTCCGTTCATTCATTACACATGAATCACAACCATATTGAAAAGCAGACAAGAAATATTTTATTAAATTAGTAAAAGACCTTGAGACATACATATATGGACAATATTGTAAAAATATACTTGATTTTAAGCTTTTTTATTATGATTTAATTATAATTACCCTTTTAGATTTTTCACTAAGAAAAGAGGCAAGTTCCTCCCACGTTCAAACTCTTTTGGAAAATCTTTGATACATTAAGCTTTTCAATGTTAATATTTTACTCTTACAGTATACAGAAATAGAAGAGATTAAGAAGGAACTTACTGTATTATGTAAGGAACAATGAACTCGGTAATTATGATCCAGCAACTGCTCTACTGCACTTGATCTGAAAGAAATACATGTTTAGCATGAAAACGGAACTGTAACTATTGTTCACTCAATTGGTCGTTAATGTCTACTATAAAAAACTGTAACAATTACACAGAAATGTTCTTTTTTAAAAGCTGCCTAGTTTTCTTCTAAAAGAAAAAGGTTGTGACACATCAGTATAAATCTTCCACCATGGTTTATCGCTGACTATATAACACTGCTATGCATTTGCACAAAAGAAATGGTTAAGAGGTTCTCTGATTGAAGTTACTTACTTAAATGCTGCAGAGAGTGTCTTGTTTTTCCTAACAAAGGCTATCCTTACCAGACCATCCCACTCCTGGAATGGAAAATTTCATAATTTTAGAAAGTAACATACAACTACTACAAACAAGAACAGTCACTACTGACAACTTCAGAACAATACTGAATAGAAAGGAATATCCTTCATGGAAATGTCCTTCTAAACAACACAAAACCAGCTGTATCTTGGGTAAAGCAATACAAATGGAGGAGAAAATACTTCACCCCCAAAACCCTTTGAATTGTACTTTTTCATGCCTTGGTGTTATTACGTGCAGAGAAGGCAGATACTTGAAGAAAATCTGGCTAACATTGGGCAAGGCTGAAATGGTCTTGAAGTGTTTTAAAAATTAAGAATACTCTTCTGTAACATTTGTCTTCTGAGATTAAACACACTTGTCTGAAGATAAATCTCATATATTCCTTTGATCAAAACCTGCAAAATTATCAGCCAGAAACATCTCTGGGAGACTTAAACCATGATGAAAGGGACATTATTACTAGCAGTTCTCCAAGTGACCATGGTCTTATGAGTTATACTGTACACAAAGCTGCCCCAGTTGATGGTGGCATGTTCTGTTAATGTCATAACACAAGCCTGATCAACAGAGAAATAAGCATTTTGGAAACTCCAATGAGTAGCTGGTAGTTTGTATTAGAATCAGCACATGGAATTGAGTAGTAAGTGGGAAGAAATACGAAATTATCACTAACATGTTACGTTAAGTATACACTGCTCACCTGGAAGTTGATAGGTGGTGGGGGGTTCTTTGGCTCTATTCTGACAACACTGGATTCGACTTTGGGAGGAGGCCTGAAGTTGTTCTTTCCAACCTGTAAGATAAGAGTAGTCAAGCAGCTGTGTGAATAAGCAACAAAATCCTCACATCCCTTCTGTGTTTGATAGCCAAGCTACCTGAATGCAGAGTGACGTACCTTCATCAGATGGTCCACTCGAGCCAATAACTGAGTATTAATAGAGAGTCTGCAGTACAGTTTGCTTCCTGGTTTTGCAACCAAACGAAGTGCAAATTCCCTTTGAAACATAAGGATTGCACACCTGAGAGTAAAAGAAATGAGAAAATGGATTCTAAGTATTCAATTTTTATGTCAGCAGCTAACTAACGCACTTAGAAAACACACAATTTTCCTCAGCACTTAGAAGAGTAAATGTTTGTAATAAACGACTCTGCCTTGATTAGTGTGTTGAAAAAAACCCCAAAACCCATCACAGAACTTGGTGAAGTCATCCACGTCTCCTTAAAGCTATTACATAATTTGATTATCCATACTGCTAAATGGATCAGGATCAAAGACAGTCTAGTCTGAGAGCTGCCTCAGACTAGACTGTAATAAATCATTTAGAGTAACTCTCTGCTGAGTTCTTCAAATCCAAGCTTTACAAAAATTGACTGATAACGTTACCAATGTTCCTCTGAGAGAAATCAAAAGCTGATGACGTACTGATGTCTGACACACAGACAGGACAGTTACATTTTTAGATCAGACAAGAAAGTGACTTGGCATTGATTCTACCCTTTCCAGCCTAACTTAGATAGGAAGGTATTTGAAATGCTATGATGCCCTGCTTATCCCTGGAATAATACTTAGTTATAATACTAAGGAGATGTAACTCCTGTTTTTATCTGTTGGGCACCCACTGTTGCCAAGTTTAAATTTTCTCCTCATGCTCAATACATCAACATAAACTTAATTTCCAGGCACTGTCAGACTATGTATTACAGAAGAACTTTAGTGCAGCTCTGATGTGATCCATCAAACTGGCATCTTAGGAACTAAAAAAGTATCGGATTTGAAAATATTTTTAAAACTATTTTTCTTCCTCCCAGGTAATACAGAGTTCTATTCTTCCACATACCTGAAAAAAGGTCGATGAAGCAATAATTTGAAAACAAAAGGTGAAGAAATCTGAGAAAAAATAATTAATAATGTTACCATAATTTCTGGGAAATCAGCATTTAAAAATAATTTTTTTAATGTTATTGTATGCTATGTTGTTTGTCCCATACCTGGTAAGGTAAGTTAGCCACGCATGCATCAAAGAATGGTAAATCTGTTTTCAAGATATCTCCAACCTTGATTTCAAGTTTGTTTGCTAGACACCTGGGTGAAAAGATACACTGTGGTTATCCTCAGAGAAGCACTGTTGCCAAAATTTGTACCAAAGTAGCTCCACTGCTTTAAGTGCTTCCTGTTTCCATAATTGATACTTACGTGCCCTGGACTCTCTTCTGAAGCTCACCAACAAGTCTAGGGTCAATTTCACATGCAATAACCTAAAAAAAAAAAGTATCTATTTGCAATTCCATGCATCTCCTAACTGGAATTTAATCATAAAAACCCCAACCCTGTATTTGCTGCTGTGGGTTTAAAGAATCCTTTCAAAATCCCTATTTGGCTATGCACCTTCCACCCTCTCCAATACAAGCAAGCTTTACCACATAAATGGATAACAGCAATGTAGTCTGATAAAACCACACAAAATTTATGTGTTCAGCTAAAAACCCATTGGGATCATTCATATGTTAAGAAAAGTATCAATGGGGTAATTCTACTTATGTTCATCACACCCATGAAGACCCTTCTGTTTGCCATAGTCTGAGCCACAGCACAGTCAGAACTTGGGAAGGGGGTGTATGTGAGAGAATTTGCATTTACTTTTTTCACTTTCTCCAGCATCTTTACTGTCAGGTTTCCAGTTCCCGGGCCCACTTCCAGAATGACATCCGTGCGGCGCAGGGCAGCCTAAGGACAAACAGCATTTAAGTGCTTCCCTAGCACCAATTTCGTGCAATCATTTGACTTTAGAATCAAACTAAGCGCTTTTGACACAGTAAGAACCGGGTACCAAGGCAGCGTGAGACCCGTTTAGAAAGGAACGGGTGGCAAACGGGGAGAAGGAGAAGGATTATGCCTGGCGCTGGTTTACGCCGCCCCGCGCTCACAACCAGCGAGCAGCCAGCTACAGAGCAGAACGAGCGGCAGGGCCCGCAGCGCTCACACAGCCGGCGAGAGCGGCAGCCGCGGGTGCCCCGGCCCCCACCTTGTCGATGATGCTGTTCACCACGAGGGGGTTCTTCAGGATGTGCTGCCCGGCCCCGGTGTTGAAGAGGATGCCTAAGGAACAAACCGGTGTGTTACCGTGGGCAGCCGCCGGCACCCCGCCAGCCCCGGCTCGGGTGCGAGCGCCGGCCCGGCCTCGGCTCCCGGGATCTTTTCCGCCCGCCCGGTCCGGCCCACACTCACCGCCGGCGCGGCCCTCCCGGCGCTCCGGCCGCTTCCCGGCCCGCGCCTTGGGCATTGCGGCAGCTGCGCTCGGATCCCTTCGGGCCCGCTCGCTCCGCTCCGGCTCGTCTCACCTCGGCCGCTTTCGGTCGGGCTCGGCCCCGCTCGGCCCCACGCTCCACGTGCCGCGCGGCACCGCAGCTGGCGAGTGGCGCCGCGTGCCGCCGGCGGGCGCGGCAGCGGCCCCTGGCGGGCGGGCGGACCGCGGCGGCACGAAGGCCGCGCGTGTCGCGGGCTGCCCGCGCGCTCGATCCTGCCGGGAACAGCGGGTCCGTCCCACCCTGCGTGCATTGGCAGCAGCCGTGACACCTAAGGGACCGTGGTCAGCAGGGACGACGGAAGTCAGCGGACCCACAGAAGCTTTCCATGGTTTATTAATAAAGGACACACTGCCTAAAAATGGGTGTGTTCAATACCCCGACCTAGTCCGTAAGCAGACGGCAGTGGTTTTTGGATAAAGGGGCAAGGTGGAAAGGAAAACAGAAAATGAGAGATGAATGAAAGAGTGGAGGAGAGAGAAAAAAGGGTTAGAGGAAGAAAAAAAGGGAAGGAAGCAAGGAAGGAAGGAAGGATTTTCCAGGGCGACCCTCCTCGATTTTTGCCGATAAGATAACGCGCCGCTTTAGCGCCCTGACTCTGCACAAAGCGCCCGTCCGCTCACGGCCGGAGTCACTGTGCCGCTGCAATCACTCCCAGCCGCTGCCACGCCAATAAAGTATACTCGTTTTTTTTAATCCTTTCTGTGTTTTTTGCTTTACTTTCCATGTATACATTTAGCCTTATGTTCTGACGTGAACACCACGCCCGCCCGCAGTGATGCCCCGCCCCGTGCGGCGGCAGCCGCACAGACCGCGCCGGGAAGGTTTCCGCGAAGAGCGGCAGGATTGATTCCCGCGGCGGGAACACGCGCCCTGCGCGCGCGCAGCCGCCGCCTGACGTCAGCGGGCACCGCGCTCCGGGGGCTCCGCCCCCGGCCCCGCCCCGCTTTTGCCCGCGGAGCGGCGCGGGCAGCGCGCTGTCGTCGCGGGGACGTGACGTCAGGGCCGCGCGCCGGGGAAGCGGTGGCGGCGGCGGCGGCGGCGGCACGGCGTTCGCTGGTCCCGGTTCGTGCGGGGACGGGACGGGGAGGGCAGGGGGGAGCGGCGCCGGCGGCTGCCAGCGGGGCAGCGCTCGGGGCACGGGTTCCCGGGGCTGTGTCGCTGCGGGCGGCGCTGCTCCTACGACTCGCTTCGGCTGGTGCTCCGCCGGCTGTGCCCCCGTTTGCGCTGCCCGAGCCGGCGCGGCTCCGGCGTGGAGTGCTCGCCACGGTACCGGCTCCGGGGCATCGCCCCCGGGATTAAGGCAGCTGGGCCTCCCTTACCTGTTATACCGGCCGCGGCAAAGGGCCTGATCGAAGCTGGAAGTAAATAACTTACCTGATTCCAGGGAACAGTTTCCCGCTTTTTCCTTGAAACAGTTTTTAGTCAGGCCTGGATTAATGGAAGGCATGGGAGGAAGATGAGGCGTTAACCTGAGAGAAGTTGTTTTTTGCGGGAAGGGGCGCATGCTGGCCTTAATTCCAGGTGGTTGTTTTCTTCCTGCAGGCGAAAGAACAGCAGTTTTCCTGCAGAGCAGTCTTCCCGTAATCAGAGGCAGGCTCAGTGCAGCAGTGGTGAGTTATTTCTCCAGTTTGTTACCGTAGAAGACAGCAGTGTGTGTAAAATACTAGAACGAGGCCCTAAATGCAAGGGTGTTGCTGCTTCCCACTTACGCTCTCATGTGCCTTGCTTCCCATGTCTCATACATGAAGTCATCTGTAGCATATTTGATCTGGCTTTTAAATCAGCTCACAGCACATCAGCAAAATGCTGCCGAATTCAGATTATATTCATAGTGTATAAGATATACCTGAGTTTTTGCAAAAATTGTGTTTCTTACGGAGTTTGGTTTCTTCAGAGTTCATGGCAACACCAAGTTTATCACTGCTCTCTGTTTTTCTTCTCTCATTCTTTCACTGTACTGTTCTCATCAAGGATATTTGTTATCATGTGTATAAATGATAAAGGTGTTTGTCGCCCATGCTTTACATATAACATTTCGAAACTGTATCGCAGCTTTTCACAGAAGGCACCCCTCTAGTAGCGCCCCCCTTCTGCCACCTTGTGCACAACTGGTTAAGGCAGAAAGATTGAAAGGTTTTCACATGGGAAGTGTAGAGCAGAGATGGCATTACCTGTTAAATTATTGCTGTAAGGAGAGACGTGGTTTTGTGTTTCATGGGTTTAAATGTAGATTTTAACCTTAAGAACTTCAAATTTTAGTCAGCTTTTGTAGAGGATGGTTGGAGATTTGGAGATGAAGAACTTTTTTCTTACGGATGTAATTTTTTTTCTATTGTGCAATGCTATTACTGGTATAAAAGTTCTCCAGTATTGTGGCTAGTTTTGTTGTTAAGGTGATTTTTCTAAAAAAATCAAAATTTTTAAACCTGTGTGAGAATAAATTTCATATCTCCCACTTTCTTACTATTATTGAAACAATTTTAATCTAGATTTTTTTCCTGAAGGTGGAAAAATAAGCCATTTTTTCCCATTAAACAAAAACAAATCACAGTCATTATGACTGGAAAAGACCTCCAAGACTGAGTCCAGCCTTTGACACATCATTACTTTGTCAGCTACACCACTGCACTAAAGTGTCACATCCACTCTTTTCTTGGCCACTTCCAGAGATGACAACTCCACAGCTTCTCTGGGCAGCCCATTCTGATGCTTAACAATCCTTTCCATGAAGAAATTCCTCCTGATGCCCCACCTGAACCTCCTTCTCTCTCACTTTGAAGAGAAGCCATTCTTTGTTGTTTATTTAGAAAACCTAAGTATATGAGTATTCAGCTGTGTATGTGTTACTAAAAGTTAACATAGGCTTCAAACTGTCTTTTTTTATAAGCAGAAAACAGACTCCATAGTTTCTTTCATATATGTCTTTTTCTTCTTGTAACATTGTTTCTGTGGTCATTATAAGTGTAATTTCTGTCATCTGGAGAGCAGTGTTTTGTTTTGCCTTTGTAGAGTACAAGGGTGCAAAAGGATGTATATACACTGGAAATTTGGCAATGTGCATTTGTAGTTCAGCTGGTTGGCATTTGTATGCTAAATAAGAAGGAAACCAAAGATATTGAGGAAAATTCTGTATCATGTAAGACAAACTGTGAGATTTAATGCTTTCTTTTTTAATTAATATTAATTGTTTGGATGAATTTGAATTACAGAATGTGACTGTATGAATGTGTCATTTTCTCTCTTGAAGAAAAAGTAAAATGCAAAAATGTTAATAATATGCATCTTTGCCTCTTTCAGACAACCCCATGGTTTGCTCTGCTTACAGCTGAGTAATTATCTCTAGTTGCAGTTTTGCTCTTAGCTGCTGTGCTTCACAAGAGAGGTAACTGTTTTACAATCAAAATATTTCCTGCAGTCCCTCAGATCTAGCAAATGGGCTTGTAACGATCGATTTAATGCTTCCTCCTTCTGCTGAGAGATTTCTGAAAGCAAACACTTCCATCCCTGTACCTCAACTGCCTGTGAGTGGGTGTCATGCTATCTTTACACTGTGTAGTCTAATGAAAAATGAGTGTGGGGTGTTTGGATAATAAGAATGGGAAATACCTGTCTATATTTGCTCTCTTTTTCTCATTAAGTGTATTTTACTCCTTTTTTAATATTTTCAGATTTTCATGGATCTCAACAGTGCTAGCACTGTTGTTCTGCAAGTCTTGACCCAAGCTACTAGCCAAGATACTGCAGTGTTGAAGCCAGCTGAGGAACAACTGAAGCAGTGGGAGACACAGCCAGGTTTTTATTCAGTCTTGTTGGTAAGATACAGTGGAAAAGTGCTCCTAAGTAAACTCTGAATTTTGAGTACTGGTGTCTAGAACACAGTTGAGCCATGACCTCTGGCTGAGAGAAGCCCTGAGTTGTCATGGTCCAGACCGCAGAATCCTTATGCTGAAGGATAGGGTAGGTAGGATATGATAGTGCTAGGCATTGTCATCACTGTATCTCAAAGTAAGCTCTTTTCCCAGGTATTCAGAAAGTGGAAATCCAGCCTCTAGCAGTATGAGTGGGCAGTAGTGCTAAATCTTTTATTTGCCTGTTGTGAATTGTGGATGGTAAAAGGCCAAGAGGGCCCTTCTCAGAGGAAGGGCCTTTACTACCTCAAGGGGCAGGGGACCTTTCATATATCAAGGTAGTAAGGACCTTTTCTTTTTTTGTGGAGATGATGCTTTATGAACATTTTAATAGAAGTTCCCTCATGCTTTCCATTACATTGTGTGATACCTCTCTGGGATTGCTTTCCTTTTTATTAGTGGAGGGAGACTCCCAGGGAGATTAACTGACCTGGCTGTGGTAGTAAGGTCCTGGAGTGGGAAAGGTGAATACTTCTAAAAGTACTATAACCATTGGTGAAATGGATACATTAATATGGTCAAAATGATGGCAACACAGTCAAAAGGGAAATGAAACTGTTTCAGCAAGGACACTTGAAAGTTAATACTGTTGTTATTCTCCAAGATCTATGCATACGTTTATAATAGTCTTAAAAACACAGGTAAAATGTTTTTTCTACAAACATCTGTCCTCAGTGCATGGATTGAATGACTCAGATTTGTAGGGTGACATGTTCTGTTCTCTGTAGACCCTCTCATTTGTTTGGAAAGTTGAAGGTGAGCCTGAGGATTTAGGGAAAGCAATAGAAGAAGATATTTTGTGCTGTCAAATTTCCTTTTATGCACTGCCTTTGCAATAGTGTAGCTGTGGTGGTAAATGATCTTGACAGAAAACAGCAGAAATTGCCACTAGTGGTGTTTTTTTTCTCTGAATGTTTGCTTTGAGACCTTACACCTCAGGGTGTAAGCAAGTTGAGCACTCACAGGTAACTGGAACAGATATTAATTAATTTTAAATATAAGGGCTAAAAATTCAGGTGTTTAGATGCTTGTCAAAGATATATATGCTGGTACATAATATACAAATGCTGATAATTTTTTTATGTGGTTAGGTGGATTTGTTGGGGCCACATCAGCCTTTCTTTAAGTGTAAAATATTAATATAGTCTTCCAAATTAAGCAAGTGAAGTGTCTGCTTCTTTGTTTAACTTGATCATGACAGGTGGCCCAGGT